TTAGAGGAGGAGAGATAGGAGAGAGATAGAGATATCGAGAGAGATAGAGATATAGAGCTCGATAGAGCTATAGAGAGAGATATAGAGAGAGGATAGAGCTATAGAGAGAGATAGAGATATAGAGAGAGTAGAGAATAGAGAGAGAGAGACGAGAGAGAGAGAGAGAGAGAGATAGAGAGAGAGAGGAGAGAGAGAGATAGCGAGAGAGAGAGAGAGAAGATATTAGAGAGATAGAGAGCTAGAGAGAGATAGAAGAGAGAGAGATAGAGAGATAGAGAGAGAGAGAGGATATAGAGAGAGATAGAGAGATAGAGAGAGATAGAGAGGATATAGAGAGAGATAGAGATATAGAGAGAGATAGAGATATAGAGAGAGATAGAGATATAGAGAGAGATAGAGATATAGAGAGAGATAGAGATAAGAGAGAGATAGAGATATAGAGAGAGATAGAGATATAGAGGAGATAGAGAGATAGAGATATAGAGAGGATAGAGATATAGAGAGAGATAGAGATTAGAGAGGAGATAGAGCTATAGAGAGAGATAGAGATATAGAGAGAGATAGAGATATAGAGAGAGATAGAGATATGAGAGAGATAGAGATATAGAGGAGAGATAGAGATATAGAGAGAGATAGAGATATATAGAGAGATAGAGATATAGAGAGAGATAGAGATTATAGAGAGAGATAGAGATAGAGATATAGAGAGAGATAGAGAGAGAGAGGAGAGATAATTGTTGTACGTTTCAGTAGCTTTAATAATTACCAGATACATTTCTTGAGCGTTTGCGAAATGTGATTCAAGCAGGAGAGTGAAACTTCCCAAGATGCAATAACAAAATGACGTCAAGTAGGTTGACTCGTTCGAGGATCACGATATTCATCGGATTAGGATACATTTCGTGAGCATCTGTGAAATGTCGTCCACTCACGAGCGTGAAACCCCTCACCATGCAATGATTGGGCGAATTAAGACACATTTCGTGAGCGTGTGCGAAACGTGATCCATGCAGGAGAGTAAAACTTCCCAAATGTAATGTTAAAATAACGTGAAGCAGGTTGACTCGTTCTGGAATCACGATATTGGGCGGACTAGGTTATATTTCGTCAGTGTCTGCGAAATGTGGTCTATGCAGGAGTATGAAACACCCTACCATGCAGCATTAAAATGATGTCAAGTAGGTTGACTCGTTCTCGGCATAACTTAATTAGAAGGACTGGGATATATTTCGTCAGCGTCTGCGATGCAGAAGAGTGAAACACCTCACCGTGCAACATTAAAATGACGTCAAGTAGGTTGACTCATTCAGAGCATAACGATATTAGGCGATTGTCTGCGAAATATGGTCTAACAAGCAAAAATAAATGACGTCAAGTAGATTGACTCGTTAAGGAAATGACGTTATTAGGTGAAACAATGTCAGAAACGGTACGATGCTGAATGGTACCACAGTCAGATGAAAGCCTCAAGTTCTTAAATGACCTTAATTGAGATGCTTTATACTATAATCGTTCATGTAGTCACAGATATAGTTTTTAGAAACGGATACCGCATACTGAGAGTAAGTTTATGGCAAATGGTAATAGATACCAAATATGAAACATACCCCCTGCCTCCCTCCCAGGTGAAACTGCCTCCAATTTTTAGCACATTCAAAAAAATTCTGAAAATGAGCAGGAGTTTCTGAGCGATTTTTATTTTTTCGTCTTTGTCCTTAGCTCCGCCACCTTTGAATAATTTTTCAAAACCCGTAAGGCCTTTTCGTGCTTGGCACAGCAGTAACTGTACGTACTAATCTTACTTTCAGAGTTATAGAGAGGCTATGGATTAGAGGACGGAGAAAATTCAAATACCGTAGCTGCAAAATAGCATATATGATGATGATTGAGATGAAAATGAGTAATGTAGTATGACGAACAACCGACCAGAATATCTCGTTTATGTATTAGAAAAATAACTTTATTAGGAAGCTCAAGCTTTCATTTCAGATCTGTGTACCTCTAATCTTGATGACTTATATTTTATGAATAACATAGATGCTAAAGTGGAACATCTGACGACAACCCTCACAAATATTTATAACAAACATGCTCCGATTAAGACACTACGTGTTAATAAACCGCCATCTCCTTGGTTGGATGAGGGAATGAAAAAGCTTATCAAAGAAAAAGATTCAGCTTTTACCAAATATAAAGCTAGTAAATCACTTGAAGACCTTGATAAATTCAAACAGCTGAGGAATAAGGCACTACATAAAATTCGAATGAAAAAGAAAGAGTATTATTCAGAATCTAACTGATCAAAATAATCTAAAAACTTTATGGTCTGGGCTGAATAGGCTTAACATAAAATCTCGTTCAAAACAAACAATACCAGATGAGCTAGCCGATGCAAATAGTATTAACAATTATTTTATGTCAGTTTATAGTTACGACAGTGTCTCAGAAAATGTATGTCGGTTTTATGACAGCAACAAATTGGACAATCGAAATCGTTTTTCTTTGCGAGTTGTCGAGCCGGTGGAAATATTGAAGGCAATCAAAGATATCAAATCAGATGCAAAAGGAATTGACACCCTCTCACTAACCATGGTCAAAGTAAGTCTTCCCGTAACTTTTTTCCATATCACCCACATAATAAATTCATGTTTGGAAAATGGCTACCATCCTAAGCTGTGGAAGCTGGCTCTAATTATACCTGTCCCTAAAATATCTAAACCTACTGAACTTAAGCATCTTAGACCCATTAGTTTGTTGCCGGTGCTATCGAAAATTTTGGAAAAAATTATACAGCAACAAGTTGTCCATTACATAGAGGAACTAAAAATAATATCGTCATGTCAATCGGGCTTCAGGAAGCACCATAGTACCACCTCGGCACTGTTAGATCTTTGTGATAATGTTATTAGGGCAGTTGACAAAAAGTTAGCAACAGCAGTGGTATCAATTGACTATTCCAAAGCATTCGATCGAATAAATCATAAACTTTTGTGCGCCAAGCTGAGGTATATAGGCTTCGATGATGCTGCTGTCAGTTTTTTCCGTAGCTATTTGTCCGGTCGCACGCAATGTGTCGCAATCAATAACGGTCAATCCAATATTACGACTATTGCGTCAGGAGTTCCGCAAGGCTCACTTTTGGGACCTGTGCTCTTTTTGATTTACACGTGTGACCAGCATAAAGCAGTTGACAATTCAGGGATACAAACATTTGCTGACGATACTCAAATAATATTCCATTTCGACGCCTCAGATACGCAAAATTCATCAGACATTTTACAGCTTGATTTAGATAAGGTACATCAGTTTTCTATGGAACATAATCTTACTATTAATCCAGATAAGACACAAGTGTTATTGTTTTGTTCTGATCAGAAGAGGAAAACTGTCGAAGATTCTTTCCATCTGACTATTGGTGGCATAACATTACAGCATACTCAAACAGCTAAGGTACTAGGAGTGGAAATTGACACAAAATTAAGATTCCGCAGCCAAATAGCTAATTTGATGAAAAAAACTTACCTGTGTTCTAGGGCTCTTTATTCCAATCGCTACTTGCTTAACTTTAAGCTGAGAAAAAAACTGTGCGAATCTTTGGTGATGTCAATGCTCAGTTACTGTGATGTCGTTTATTATCCATGTTTGGATCAATTGACCAAAAATCGTCTTCAAATCATCCAAAATAACTGTGTTCGCTTTATTTATGGGTTGCGTAAATACGATCACGTAAGTGATAAATATAGGGAATTGAACTGGCTTAGGTTAGGAAGTTTGGTTAAACATAAATTCTTAGTTTTAGTTCATAAAATAATATTGTCATCAAAGCCTGAATATCTAAGAGCTAAGTTAAGATTTAATTACGAAGTGCATGACAGGGCTGTTAGGAATCGTTATAGTATCAGAACCAGCCCACACACTTCTGCATTATTCCAACGAGGATTTACATATAATGCAGCACTATTTTATAATCAGTTGGACAACAGTATTAAATTGATGTCTTTGGAAAGTTTTCGTAAACATACTAAAAGCATGTTGCTCGCTATTGATTAAATACGCATTTCTGCTACAGATATAGATTGTGTCTATTTGTATTTTATACTTAGGTATATATGTGTTCTTTTTTTCATTGTTCTTATATATATATATATATATATTTTTTTTCATGTTTTGAACATCAGATGTAACCGACATAAACAGTTAAGTGTAAGAGTAGCCTTGGCTAAACTTCGCTGTTTATGTCCCTCCGGGTTATCCAATAAAGACGTTATTATTATTATTATTATTATTATTATTAAATACTTACCTAGAGAAGTTACTTTGTAACCTACGGTTCTTCACAACCAGGAAGACTATTACAGACAGCAAAGCTATAAGCACCAACAAACTAGGCACAACGATCGCTGTCATGTTGATAGACGGTTGTATAACCTCCATTCTCTTGCTCACTGCCTCTGAGGCCATGGAGAGCATCCCCGCCTTGGTACGGACCCTGCAATTTCATAATACGAATCAAAAAGTGTAAAAAATTATAAATGGCTGGAATGAAATATGTTGAATACGAAAAAGGTACACAGTTTCATGTTTATCTGTAAACAAATTGTTTTTGATACATTTTAGAAAAATTTCGTTTGATAACGAGGATTATTTTTTGAGAAGGGCCATAGAATTTTGCGACTCACCTAACTGCAAACGTGTATGTATCCGAAGATGAATTACTGTAAATCAACGGCGGTTTTTCAACTCTGATCTTGTGCGCCGTAGTTTCATTCAGGTTGGTTCCTTCTTGTACCAAGACTTCGTAGTAGTAATCGCCACAAATAGGTGGTAGCTGTCTTTCCTGTAGATTTATAACACACGTTAGCAAAATACTTCCAGAATGCACGAATGTTACAGCATTTTTATGACGAGTTGTTGAAAATTTCGAAACCGGAGCATTGAAAAAACGACGTTGGAGGTTTAAGATTTGACTAGATAATGATTTCCCACCAGAATGAAAATAGCACCAGATGTAAAAAATATTTAGGGGCAAATTAAATTTTAGATCCAAGTGATATGTGACTTTTGTTATGTTCATGTTGATATAGCTAAATAAACACCCATTCCATTCTGTTTTATACCACGTATTTACCTCCCACATGATGACATAACTGCCATTGGTTGCCGGATTGACGCTGACTCCGTACGGCGGCGAAATGGTCGGCGCGTGATAAACGACGGGTTTCGATGAGATAGGGAACGACTCTTCTGTGGCCACAGTGACCTCATAAACGCCACCGTAGGAAACGTTGAACACGCGCCAGAGGGCGTCCGTGTTGTTGGTGCGACGATGCCACGTTTGGGTGTTCACTTTGTTCACTACGTTTATCTGAAAAGGGAGAGTATCGATAAGGCGATATTTCGCTGAATATGAGTTGATGTTTTGGCGAGGAAGAATCACCTTTTTCATTCCACGACATTTTCTGTTTCTTTTTTTATGAAAGAATGGGTAAATATGCTTTATTAGATATTAAAACGTTTTCAAGTTCAAGGCGGAATATCTTTAAATTGGTAATTCCTTTGATAGCATCAGATATATGCGTAAATTTTCAGACTATTATAAATTATCGAGTCTTTCACGAGCGTTGATTTCGGTACTGCTAATTTACGATATTGTTTCGTCTAATATTGTAACTTATACTGGGTGCGCCATCTATTACTTTTTTTTACCTATAAGTTTATGTGTTACCCTGTGAGTCAAAAGTCATTCGTTTACAACACAACAATGATGATGTCTGTTTCACTGACGCGGATGCGTCGACTGTCTGTTCTTCAATAACCGAAATTATCCACGTCGCAATGGAGGAATACATCCCTCACACAGTGAAAGTTCCTAAACCAGGGTCCAACGGCTGGTTCAACAAATCGTGTGACATTGCTCGCCAGCAGAAGATCAAGGCCCACAGAACCTACTTACAAAACCCCACTGTAGAGAACAGACAAGCCGACGTCGAGTCCAGAAACAAATATAACGAAGCGGTTCGCAATGCCAAAAACCAGCATGATATAAAAGTTAGGCACAGGGTAATGTCGCAGCGCAATGGCAGTCGGTCTTTCTGGACGCTGGCCAAGCAGATTGAAAAGAACTTCTCACACAGTAGCCTTCCACCACTTACGTGTCAGGATGGAACTATTGTATTCGACTCAAATGCCAAGGCGGAAGTGCTAGCCAAGATCTTTGCTGCCAACTCCACCATGGACGTCCCCACCAACGCCCAAGTGCCGTCAATTCAAAGGGTTCCCCACACTATGCGGGAAGTAACATTCAGGCATAAGACCGTAAGACGAGTGCTCTTGTCGCTTGACATCAACAAAGCTTCTGGTCCGGACTTGATTCCTGCCATTGTACTGAAGAGATGTGCAGCGGAGCTTGCTCCAGTTCTTTCGCGTCTCTTCCAGATATCTTATGAATCCGGCACCTTCCCAGAAAACTGGAAATTTGCTCATGTACAGCCCATCCCAAAAAAAGGATCTAAAACCGACCCTTACAACTACAGGCCTATAGCTCTGATTTCTGTTATAAGTAAAGTGATGGAGAGGTGCATAAATCGCGAGCTTCTGGACTACCTCGAACGTCACAGCTTGATTAGCGACAGGCAGTAGGGTTTCCGGCACCAACGATCCACAGGGGACCTCCTAGCTTACGTCACGCAACTGTGGAGTAAACTCATCCAGTCTCATGGTGAGGCTCATGTCGTTGCTCTTGACATCACGAAAGCGTTCGATCAGCTGTGGCACGCTGCCCTCTTGAGCAAACTTCCATCCTACGGCCTCCCAGAAAAGCTTTGCAGATGGGTGGCTGACTTTATCTCTGGCCGCAAGATATCCGTCGTAATTGACGGATTCTCCTCTTCATCCCACAACGTCAACGCGGGTGTTCCCCAGGGATCGGTCTTGGCTCCAACACTGTTTCTCTTACATATCAACGACCTCCTTTCCTGCACGATCAACCCAATCCACAGCTTCGCTGATGACAGCACTCTACATGCAGGAATTCAGAGTGACAAGCCGATCTCTGCCGAGGAGCTGGAAAAAAGAAGACTAGCGACGACTTCTTCTCTGACAAGAGACCTGGAGGCTATCACTGCTTGGGGACGCAACAATCTTGTACAGTTCAATGCTTCCAAAACACAGTACTGTACCTTGACGAACAAAAAGCGTCCTAGCGCTCATACAGTTTCGATGGACGGTCGAGTACTACCAAAGAGCCATTCATTTCGGCTGGTCGGAGTCCAGATCACCTAGGACCTGATCTGGCACGAACACATCTCTTCAATAGCTGCAGCTGCTGGGAAAAAGCTAGGCTATTTGTTTAGGGCTAAGAAGTACTTTTCTCCGCATGACCTTCTCACTCTATACAAGGCCCAGATAAGGCCTAGCCTCGAGTATTGCTCACACATTTGGGGTGCTGCCGCCCCGACTACATTGTCCATGCTCGATGCTGTCCAGAGGAGGGCGGTCCGACTGATCGATGACTCTTCTCTAACAGACAGTCTCGGGACTCTTTCGCACCGGCGGGCCGTCGGCGATCTAGCTCTTTTCTATCGCTACGCCAACGGGCTTTGCTCCTCAGAGCTCTCTTCCATGATGCCGCCGCGCGATGCGCCTGCCAGACAGACCCGCCTGACTTCGGCATCCTATCCTAACCGTGTCAAACTTCGTACATCCAGAACTGGCCGATACGACCGCTCCTTTGTCCCGAGGGTGTCTAGATTGTGGAACAATCTACGGGAGGAAGCTTTTCCCAGTTCTACTAACCTTAGGCAGTTCAAAAATCGTATTAACAAAATTTCTTTGGGATCATCATAGCAGCCGCGGTGTTCCGGCATTTAGGCTTCTGCCTGCGCGGCTGTTTCGATATAAAAAAAAACAATGCATTTTGGTTATCCAAACTTATTACGAAAACGGTCGAAATATAAAAAATACTTTTCGCAAACTTCGCACTAGTTTTGGCCGACATGGACGCCCTTCAGAGCCTGGAATTTGTTGGATTGTTAATCGTTTTGAGGAAACTGGCAGGTGAAGGTCGTAGACCATACCAACATGCTCGTCCAGCTCGTACTCGTGAAAACATAGCCGCAGTGAGTGAAGATCCAACCACCTCGACTATACACCGTTCGCAACAATTGGGAATTAGTGAGACCACTTTACGCCGGATTTTACACATTGATTTACACCTCCAACCAAACAAAATCCAACTAACACAAGAATTGAAGCCGGCAGACCATGAACAGCGGCGTGTTTTTGTTAATCGGATGCTGGAAAGAGAAGACGGATTTTCGGCAAAAGTGCTCTTTTTTGATGAGGTTCATTTTCACCTCTATGGGGACGTAAATAAGCTAAATTGCAGATTCTGGGGGGCTGAAAATCCACACCAATATCATGAAAAACCTCTCCATCCTGAAAAAGTGACTGTTTGGTGCGGATTATGGGCTGGTAGCAACGTTGGACATCTCGCCAAACAATCGCCTTATTGCACACGAAATTTCAAGACCGCATAATTTCACGAAATTCAGATGTCACTTGGCCCCCGAGATCGTGCGATTTAACACCTCCTGATTATTTTCTTTGGCGATTTTTTTAAGGAAAAGTGTATGCGAATGGTCCCCGGACAATTCAAGACCTAAAGCGCAATATTCGGACTGAAATTGCGGCCATAGACCCGATTATTCTGGGAAAAGTCATTGAAAATTTTGATGTTCGAAAATTGGCCTGTAAACGAAGCCGCGGTGGTCACATGACCGATGTTATTTTCCATACATAAATGGCATAAACCAACCTTCATTTATCAATAAAAAAAATCGATTTCACCTCGTAAAAAGCGTGTTGATTTTTCAAATAGAAAGAAAGTAATAGATGACGCACCCTGTATTTAATGTAGTTGCTGTTTTTAAAATAAACGATAAAATGATACGGCAGTCATTATTTTAAGATTTACAAATAAAGGCCTGCATGTCGCTCTAGGATTGCTTTTAGTTATAAATCTAATAGTTTGTATTTTGTAAATCGCTTGGAGCTCCTTCATAAATAGAAGTATACTTTATCTGAAGGTACTTGAAACACTGTTAAATACCGGGTGCGTTTTATATATCTATATTTAACACGCTCTGTTGCTGCAAAAATCGCCAAATTTCGCAGCAAATATCCCCCGTATAAGAGATCAAAGGCAGTTTCACCGGTCCACGTGGAGTAAAGCACGCCTATGCGTGAACATAGCCAATGAGAAAGCGTGTATTTCAGAGCTCGGAACAAGTGCAGGTGGCTACTGAAAATTGAAACAGTTTAGCCAGTGCCGTGTAGCGGTGAATAAACGTGTTTTCTTTAGTCTGTCCGTGTTTTTTCATAGATTTTATTAGTTTGTGTGTTTTTGACTTTTGAATACTCAGTTTACTTGTTGATTTAATTGTTGTGTTGATTGTTCTTGTGTGTCCTAAATATGGCTCTTTGGAGACCTTGGGAAAATGCTCCAAACCACGAGGAGATGGTTGATGAACCTGTGCAGGCAGAATTCTTTCATAAAGATTTAGAGGAACAGACCCAAAGAGTAATCCTAAATATGTATGATTGTCTGAAAAACGAAAATCCAGATTCCTCGCAAAATCAAATTTTAAACAGAATTTGTATCCTGACAAAAATCAGTCGGTCTACCATTTATCGGGTTATAAAAAGGGGAGATGTAGTCAACCATTCCTTCCACAGAAAGCGCATAGGGCAAAAATTAAAAAGAATAGACGTGGGTTTTCAGGAAGATATTCGTCGTATAATATACGGATTTTATAAAGAAAATTTGGTGCCCACGTTGGAAATGATACGGGATAAACTAAAAGATTATCCTGAAGATTTTTATAATTACAAATGCTTAGACTCACTGCACTGTATTGTAAAACTGTGTGGTTTTCAATACAAAAAATTAGATAAAAGAATGGTGATTATGGAGTCGTCTCGAATCGTTGAATTGCGCCAAGAATTTTTGCACAAAGTTAAAATCTATAGAGAGCAGAAAAGAAATCTGATTTACCTGGATGAAACGTGGTATGATACCCATGATGTTGTGCAGTACGGCTGGGTTGACGACAGCAACAAGTGCATTTTAAATGCACCATGCAACCGTGGAAAACGAATCATTATTCTCCATGCTGGCAGTGAAAATGGATTTATACCTAATGCCTTGCTGTTATCTGCCAAAAATATCAAAGAATCATGTGCCGACTATCATGAGGAACATGACCTCCGACTTATTTCAAAAGTGGATAGAGCAGCAGTTAATACCAAACATTTTCCCAAATTCAGTGATTGTTATGGACAATGCGCCATACCATTCCCGACAGAAAAACAAAATTCCGAATACAGGCACAAAAAAACAAGACATTATTGATTTTATGAAGGATAAGGGAATGGAAATACCACAAAAATCAACCAAAGCCATATTATTGGATCTTATTAAAAGACAAAAATTTGAAAAAGAGTATGTTGTTGACAATCTGCTTCAGCAAAATGGCCATGAAGTATTACGTCTACCTCCCTATTACTGCATTTTTAACCCGATTGAGTTGGTCTGGGCTGCTTTAAAAAAAAAGTAAGAAAACATAATCAGACCCCTCAATTAAGTGAATCGCTATTGGCCACAATAAGAGATGCAGTATCTCATATTGCTGCCACAGACTATGGAAGCAGTGCTCTAGGCATATTATTGAAAAAGAAAATGAATATTGTGTTTTGCCTCCTGTAAATCCCGTTGTAATTCCTCTACAAGATGACTCTAGCGACAGCTCCGAAGGCGAGGATGATATATAAATACCTATAATGTAAGTCTTTATATACCTTTTTACCTGCTATGTAAATATTTGCCTATGTCAAACGTTGGAATTCTGTAATTTTTCCATTTCTTAACTTTCAGTCAACATAAATTAAACTCCCAATATAAGTATTTTTTATCCCAAATCAAAAAAATAAGAAGATAGTAAAATCCATTTATTGTGATATAAAAACATTATTATTATCGTTCTAAATAAATGCCGCACGCCTATGATACGTCATGAAATTACAAACGACGCGCCGACCAAAGGTTTTTATGCTATTTCAAGTGACTTCAGATACACCATAACTACTGACGTATTTAAATATTTTAAACACTAAGAATCCGATTTATGCACCTTCCTTGGAAACTATAGAAACGGAGAAAGAATGACGCTTCATTGAAAAACGTTCAAGGGAGGATTTAAAATTATCATCACAAGCTGAATAAATATTTGCAACTAGTTCTTACCAGATAAGCCTTAGTCTGCGTCCTTGGACAAGGAGGCATCCACGACACCTTCATCTTGAGTCCGTCACCGCCAAACGCAGTGACAGATACCCTTTTCGGAGGCGCTTTCGGATTTTCAGCCGTACTGATTTGCTGCAAATGTACCGGAATCGGCCCGTATCCAACCGGACCGACAAGACCGACGGCGAACAGGTAGATCGTGCAGGAATCCAGGTCTTTCACTGTTGCCGTTTCGTTCAGCGTTCTTAGTCTGGGTTCTGGAGACAAAATAAAATGTGACGAAACAAAAATTCCACCCCTTTTTTTTTATTCATTGTCACGTTTGTTAGATACCCCTTGACGTGAATGAATAAAGTATTTTCAGGTATCTTGGAATATTATACAGGGTGTCCGAGAAGTCGACGTCAAGCCGAAACCGGGTGATAGGCAAAGTCATAACAGCTATCAGAAAAATATTTAAAAAATTTTATGTTTGTGTTCTGAAAATTATAGGTCTTTGAAAAAAATATAGAAATTTCACACCCTACGGCAGTCTGTCAACTAGTGTTACTACAAATATTAACTTTTTTTGGATTTTATTTTTACAATGTAATGATGAATAATGCATCTTCAAACTGGTGTCTCAACCTTACTGCCAACTTTTCTCGTTCAGGAAAAATTGCCACTTATTTCCCAACCAAGTATCCCAAAGTAAAACTTTGCTCAACTTTAACTGGCTGTACTGGAAAAAAATGTACTACGAGAGTTTGGCAAGTAACCTTAAAAGTTGGCGCATTTAATAACGATTCCAAAATGGTATAAACACTTAGAAGATTACTCGTTAACTTATGCACAATTTTTATTTGAAGGAAAACTGATGAAAATTTTTCAAAATTTCCTAATTAAACAGCGATTATGAAAACGCACAAGGACCCTTAAGGATAACTGTTTGCACAACAGTGGGCGTCAAAATGCTGCTGATGATGATTTACCTTTACAGCAAATGCTCAAACTGTTTTCCTTCAGCCGCAATACAGGCTCGACATCTTCTTAAAAAAGAAGAACGAGCGCGAATCCACGGTTATTAACAAACTTAGCTGCTTCCAATAGTCTTTGCCGTAGCTCAGCTACATTTTGAATCGGCTTGAAATACACTTTTTCTTTTACAGTTCCCCAGTAAAAAATCTAAAGGATTCAAATCAGGTGATCGGGCTGGCCACGGTATTGTACCAGACCGCCTTATCCATCTGCCTGGAAAGTTTTGATCGAGATACTCTCTCACTGAGAGTGCATAGTGCGCTGGACAGCCATCATGCTGAAACCACATGTCCCTGTAAATACTCAGTGGCACGTCCACCAATAAATTTTGCACATGATTTTTCAAAAAATACAAATAAGTCAAAGTCTCTGGGAACTCAAACGGGCCGAATATTTTACCATTTAAAATTCCTGTCCAATGGTTTATCTTGAAGCGATATTGAGATTTATCTTCTCTCATCAAATGTGGGTTTGCTACGTGCCACTCATGTAAGTTATGCAGGTTCATGTACCCATCTTTCTTAAATGTGGTCTCATCCGACCATAAAATTTTTTCAAAGAACTGTGGATCTTTCCTGTGTCTTTCTAACATTGTGCGACAAAAAGCAACTCGGGGCTCATAATCCCGGGGCAGGAGAGGTTGAACACGCTGTATGTGGTATGGATGAAGCACATCACTTACTTGCTATTGCACACGTTGATACCGATCAGTACTCCTTCGTTTACTGCGCATCTTTACATGTTCGTGCTTGTTGATTTCGTACTGTTACTAATTTTGGATTCGTGAACTGGACTGTTGATCGCTTGTGATTTGGATTTGGACTGTTTAATTGCTCTTCAAAAGAACATTTGCTTTCCTTAGACTATCTTTGATAGTGTGATTGTGAAGGAAAACAGTTTGAGCATTTGCTGTAAAGGTAAATCATTATCAGCAGCATTTTGACGCCCACTGTTGTGCAAACAGTTATCCTTAAGGGTCCTTGTGCGTTTTACCATAAACGCTGTTTAATTAGTAAATTTTGAAAAAAATTCATCAGTTTTTCTTCAAATAAAAATTGTGCATAAGTTAACCATTTTGGAATCATTAAATGCGCCAACTTTTAAGGTTACTTGCCAAACTCTCGTAGTACATGTTTTTCCAGTACAGCCAGTTAAAGTTGAGCAAAGTTTTACTTTGGAATACTTGGTTGGGAAATAAGTGTCAATTTTTCCTGAACGAGAAAAGATGGCAGTAGGGTTGAGACACCAGATTGAAGATGCATTATTCATCATTACATTGTAAAAATAAAATCCAAAAAAAGTTAATATTTGTAGTAACAGGAGTTGGCAGACTGCCGTAGGGTGTGAAATTTCTATATTTTTTTCAAAGACCTATAATTTTCAAAACACATACATAAAATTTTTTAAATATTTTTCTGATAGCTGTTATGACTTTGCCTATTACCCGGTTTCGACTTGACGTCGACTCCTGGGACACCCTGTATATACAAACATGCGGCCAATTAATGTACTGCCAGATGTCGAAAAGCTCTTAGAAGGAACCATATATGAACAAGTCGTTGAATATATTGAAGAAAATAAGATATTGACAAAATTTCAAGCAGGATTCAGAAAAAAGTATGCTACTGAAACAGCAATTCAAATGGTAGTAGAAGAATTGAGGCCAAATATGGATGAAAAAAAGTTTATAGTAACATCGTTCTTAGATTTCAAGAGAGCATTTGAGATGATTGACAGGGAGAAATTGTTAACGAAATTGCATTGCTATGGATTTCAGGGTGCAGTATTCAACTTATTACAAAATTATTTAATCAATAGAAGTCAAAGAACTAAAATTGGCAATACATTATCAAACATTAAAAACATTTCGGTAGGTGTGCCACAGGGTAGCAAATTAGGTCCATTTCTATTTATTTTATATATTAACGATATTCCTGATATTTTACAACACTGCAAAATTCAACTATTTGCTGATGGTACATTAATATATCAAATAAATACATTGAAACTGCAATAGAGCTGTTAAATAATGGTATGAAAAACGTAATAAATTGGTTAATAAACTAAACACAAAATATATGCTAATAGGAAATTCTTTAGATCAAAATACAATAAATCTTACAATTAATCATGAAAAAATTGTGTCAATAGAATCATTTAAATATTTGGGCATATACATAGACAGTAAATTAAAATTTGAAGGGCACTATGAATATATTACTTCAAAAATATCCAAGAAAATAAATTACTTTTATAGAATTTGGCATAGTCTAAGCGTTGATTCTAAAAAAATTGTGTACAACGCTATCATGCTTCCTCATTTGTTATATTGTTCGACTATTTTGTTCATTGCAAATAAAAAAAAATATATATTTCCAAAATTACAAATATTACAAAATAAAGCTATGAGAATCATCTTAAATAAAAATAAATACACTAGAATAAAATTTATGCTGAAAGAACTACAATGGTTAAATATCATATAAATTTCATAGCCTACTTGGTTTTCATTTTCATATTCAAATTAAAAAATCAACTTCTACCAAATCACTCAGAAAATTTTATTGTATGGAACAATGAGTGCCACAATTATTCTACTAGAGGAAGTATAGAATTTCATTTACAAAACTGCAGTAGCAATATAACGAGCAAGTCAGTATTTCAAAAGGGATTGTACGAATTTAATAAATTAAGTAATGCTATCAAGATGTGTGCCAGTTTGAACATGTTCAAAGGGAAATTGAAAAAATATCTCATGGAAAACCAGAATTCATAGTAGTGAAATTTTGTATAAAAATATGTGGTCTTGAAAACATAATATATTTTGTGATATTGTAGCGTTAATGCTAAATAAATCTGAAACAAACAAACAAACAGTTTAAGACATTTCTATAAATTGTAATTAAATAACCCCTTAACGTTCCTTAACAAGAATCACGCGCCGTTTAACATTATAGTGAAAGATGTACTTACTTTCCAATAGTTCCGAGATCGAAAGGCCGTAGTACACACCGTACACCCAGTTCAGTTTTTTGAGGTATTTTGGCCGTTCCCATGTAACTTTAACAGCAGTACCGACGTCCTTGATTACTCTAGCCTCGAAGTTGCTCACTACCGGCAGCGGTTTGCCCATTCTTTTAATGTTGATCGTCGACGGGGGACCTTCCAAATTTTTCTTGAACGCAGTCACCTTAAAAGAACATCACTGATCAACGTAACGCGGCGGCAAACGCTACTCAATTGAAGTGCTTTAGAAAACAATGTTGTACATGTCAATCTTTGATAATACACGGAAACGATCAAATATACAGGGTGTTTCAGTTTATTGTTGCATAACTTTAAGATTCGATAGAACTTTTAAAATTAATGCATAAAGTCTATATAAACATGGGTCGAAAAATGCGTGGCTTCCGAAATACAGGGTGTTTAAATTTACTTTCTAAAATAGTTTTTTTTAAATATTTCGAACAATATTTGATGTATAATAGTGAACAAGGGTTAATTACTTGTAATGCCCAAATCGAAAATGTAACAAAAATATTATTTTCCCATAAATAATTAAAAATGCATCGAACCTTAAAAATCGAAATATCTCAAAAACGGCTAACTATAAGGAAAACTCACAAGAGAGCTTTTTTATGCAGAAAAGTGGGAAGAATCAGTTTTTTTATTCAAAAAGCAAAAAATTGCACTAAGAAATATTTTTCGGACATTTTAACAGGTACAGTAGAGAGCGCCCTCTAGCGGCTACAGTAAAACTATGACCATGGTTCGTTTTGTCGTACCAAAAAACCCTTGTATACCAATTTTCACTGTTATACATCAGATATTGTTCTAAATATTTAAAAAAAAACTATTTTAAAAAGTAAATTTAAACACCCTGTATTTCGGAAGCCACGCATTTTTTGACCCATGTTTATATAGACTTTATGCATTAATTTTAGAAGTTCTATCAAATCTTGAAGTTATGCAACAATAAACTGAAACACCCTGTATACAGGTAGAAAAGATACACCATTAAGGAACACCCTTTATAGCCATAAGGCGCTACATGTTTGTAAAAAAGTGTGTGATGTGATAAATATTACCGTTATACTGCAATTCAGTCCAGGTGCCAATTTCATAGTAAAAGTCTTGTTTTTGGTGGTAAACAGCGGCAAATTCGGATAGAATCTGACTGTTATCGGATCGAGAGCCTGCACCTTGACGTTAAAGCTATCCGTTTCCCCTTCGTACTGCCAGGATATCGTGACGCTTTCTTCAGTTTCGTTGACCACAGAGAGATTTTTGATGTTCGTCACCGTGTTCACGTCATAGACCAACGTCGCTGCTTCAGATTTGTTGCTGGGGTAGTAGTTGTTGTGGGCTATAACCTAAACGAATTAAAATTTACAGTACTGTGTTTCAGAAGGTTTAAGATGTTCCAGATTTTTGCGACCCGAAGCAGTGATAGCCTCTCTCATCAGAGAGGAAAACGTGTTGAAAACGACAACCGTGCAGTGTTTTCAAGATCTATCAAAAAATCGCAGAGCTAGGCTGAGAAATTCTATCTCATCCCCCATACTCTCCAGTCCTAGCACCTCCCGACTATTGGGGCATTTCACGTAAAGCGGTCAGCGAAAAAAAAGTGAGGTTTTAAAATTCGTACATATTTGGCCTGTTTGAACATCTAGTCGCTGTGGCACAGAACACGATTTTTTTTACGTGACAAGTTACAGGCTTTGGAGGAGAAGCCCTATTTGAAATTGTAATTTTTTTTTAATTGATAAGTAGTCTGTTAGGCTTTGAAACATAGCGTTTTTAAAAGGTAATTTTCTACCTGCTTTTATTAACTGTCTTTTTCGTGTATGCATGAATATGCATTTAAACAAAACACATGCATTTTTGTTATTAGCATTACAGCAGACGCCCGATAACGTAAACACGGGATAATGAAAACTTGCGCTAATGTAAACACAAACTTCGTTCTATAGGATCAAACGGAACGCGCGATAACGTAAACAATGTGTACGCTCGATAACGTAAACAACTCTCGGCGCACGGAAACAGCGCGACGGTAAAATGCTGAAGCCTCGATGATTTATGTCGGGCGTCGGGGAGTCCCCGATTTATGATGTAGGGGATTCACCTCTGCGATAAAATACGACAAACTCGGTCAGTCGTATGATCGTTTAGGATACGTTTATACGTACGTATGTATTTCATTTTTGAACTTAAGTGAATACATTGCACGCGTTAATATATTTTACGACTATGGCATCCACATCCTATAAAAGAAAGTGTTTAAAGTTGAGTGAGAAAGTGAAAATCATAGACGAAGTTGCACTAGGGGCGGGAGTGACACAGTTAGCAAAAAAATATGGAGTATCGAAAGCAACAATCTGTAAAATTAAGCGTATGAAAACTCAAATTTTACAAAGAACGTGCAATACATTTGGAGGTCCAGGAAAAAGAAAGACTTTAAAAAATGCGAAGGCACCTAAAATGGAAAATTCCCTGTATAAGTGGTTTTTAAAACAACGGGAAAATCATGTCCCAGTTAGTGGCGAAGTACTTTAACAGAGAGCGAGACTGTTAAATGAAAACCTGAAAGAAACTGAAAATTTCGTAGCTAGTGATGGCTGGTTACAACGATTCAAAACAAGATATGGAATACGACTGCTGTCTATATCTGGTGAAAAATTATCAGCACAACCACAATTAGTGCAACCATTCAAAGACAAATTGATGAAAACACTTACCGAGCTAGATTTAAGAATGGAACAAATTTACAACGCAGATGAAAGTGGCCTTTATGGGAAAATGTTACCAGAGAAAACCTATGCTGCATCATTTGAAAAATCTGCCCCGGGAAGAAAGCCGGAGAAACAACGAATAACGTTTCTAGCCTGCACTAATGCTAATGGTTCACACAAAATAAAGCCACTGGTAATATGGAAAGCAAAAAATCCGCGCTCATTTAAAAATGTTAATATCCCTGTTGATTATGACTGTTCAAAAACCGCTTGGATGACTAGCAGTATATTCCTGAAATGGTTCCACAGGTGCTTTGTCTCTCAGGTATGACAATCAATTATCACAAATGCTCTATTCATAATTTGAACATGCGTTTTCAATTTGTAGGTAAAAGGTTTCCTAAAACAACAGAAGCTTCCAATAAAAGCGTTGTTACTATTGGATAATGCACCAAGTCATCCTCCCGAGCAACAACTGAGGAGCAGGGATGGCTCAATTTTCGTCATGTACATGCCGCCCAACGTAACACCGTTAATTCAACCGATGGAGCAGAATATAATAAGACTCACCAAACTATACTATAGGAAGTTTCTACTTTCGTCTGTCTTATCAAGGAATCCTGAAAACTTATCTGAGGCTTTAAAAAAAGTAACATTACGAGAAGCTGTTTTAGATTTACATATGGCCTGGAATGAACTTAACCAGCAAACTATTCAAAAATGTTGTTACAATCTCTTTTGTACCAATAATGAAGATGATGAAGAAGATGATGTCCCCTTAAGCGTAATCAGAGAACGTTTGCGATCCAATAATGATAATGTTATTAGTGTGTCATTGGATGTTGTTGATTTATTGAAAACAGTGAATCCCAACATTGTTTGTACTCCTGCTGATATTAATTCATGTAACGAAGATAAGCAGACGAATGATGCTGATAAGAAGGATATGGACAGTGAGGATGATGAGAACGATCCCATTGAAGTCAGAAGTGTAGTGACTGACGCGCAAGCTATACAAGTTTTTAACCAAGCTTTAGATTGGGCTGAAAGAAAAGAAGTTTCATACACGGATATTTTAGTTCTTCGTAAATTACGGGCGCAGGCATTGGAAGACAATTCTAAGCGCAAATTTACGCAGACAAAAATTGTAAATTATTTTTCTTCTAATTAAAAAAATACTTATCACTGTTAGAATATTTGTTTATTTTGTTACAAATAGTATGTATTAAACATTTCTTTTAATAAATCAAATATTATATAAATCACGTTCGCTAATGTAAACAGTTCGATAATGTGAACCACACTTGTATTAAATTAGTTTACATTATCGAGCGTCTGCTGTACTTACATACCTTTTAGTGATATTTTGTAATATTTTCAAAAAGAGTGATTTTATGCCGATAAATAAAAAAAATCCAAAAAAATTAGTTAAAAAACATTCAAGGGAGTTTTGTATAAAATTTACTTTTTCCTAAATTTCAGGTTAGGAACAAGATATCGAGATGCAGATTGGTCATTTAATTTTTTTGGGAAAATTAACAATTTCTATCGGAAGGTTGAAAAAAGCCCTTTAGCGGCCACATGTGAAACTAACACAGATTCAAATAAAATAACATTTGTAGTCCAAGAATAGCTATTTCAAACTAGCCCAAGTTTGTTAAAATCGGCTCAGCCGTTTCGAAGATACAGGGTGTTTTTTACGGAAACCTTTGAAAACCCCCCATAACTTTATTTTTAGAGATACAGCAACAGAAACACAATTTTTTTATATTCAAGATTGATTTCAGAAACTTGAAAATTTGTTTTTTTATGAAAAGTACAGAAAATTTCTTATATAAAACGCTTTCATATTTTTTTATTTTGAAAATTCTTCGAAAAAACCCAATTTCAAATATGGATTTACGCTTCACGTGAAATGCACCTTTCATCTATTTTTTTCGTAAAAAGATTCTCTGTAAAGTAGAAAAAATCAAAAACGAAGAACAAATTCCGGATCAATTTTTCGTACCTAGAGATAAGACGTTTTATGTAATATACAGATTTACCATCATGTGGCAAGAATTCATAAATAAGAACCAACACTATATACAAATATCAGGCCGATTAATGTCTTGACAAATGTCGAACAGCTGTTCGAAGTGATAGTATACGAACAAATCATTGAATTTATTTAAGGAAACAAAAATTTCGGCCAAAAATCAAGCTGGATTTTAAAGAAATATATTTTTTCTACCAGCGTGCGGAAAGTACTCCACTTTTAACACGCATCTGCGTGCAGAAAGTATAGCTTTTCATCTGTAAAATTATAATAGTAGCGAGATGTTGAAAAAGTTTTTGAAGAAATTATTTACGAACAGATCATCGAATTCATTGAGGGAAATAAAATTTTAACTAAATTTTAAGCTGTATTCAGGAAGAAACACTCAACTGGCCAGCCCGATCACCTGATTTGAATCCTTTAGATTTTTTTACTGGGGAACTGTAAAAGAAAAAGTGTATTTCAAGCCGATTCAAAATGTAGCTGAGCTACGGCAAAGACTATTGGAAGCAGCTGAGTTTGTTAATAACCGTGGATTCGCTGGTTTAATAACCCGATCTTGTTTAAGATGATGTCGAGCGTGTATTGCGGCTGAAGGAAAACAGTTTGAGCATTTGCTGTAAAGGTAAATCATCATCAGCAGCATTTTGACGCCCACTGTTGTGCAAACAGTTATCCTTAAGGGTCCTTGTGCGTTTTCATAATCGCTGTTTAATTAGGAAATTTTGAAAAATTTTCATCAGTTTTTTTTCAAATAAAAATTGTGCATAAGTTAACGAGTAATCTTCTAAGTGTTATACCATTTTGGAATCGTTATTAAATGCGCCAATTTTTAAGGTTACTTGCCAAACTCTCGTAGTACATTTTTTTCCAGTACAGCCAGTTAAAGTTGAGCAAAGTTTTACTTTGGAATACTTGGTTGGGAAATAAGTGGCAATTTTTCCTGAACGAGAAAAGTTGGCAGGAAGGTTGAGACACCAGTTTGAAGATGCATTGTTCATCATTACATTGTAAAAATGAAATCCAAAAACAGTTAATATTTGTAGTAACAGGAGTTGACAGACTGCCGTAGGGTGTGAAATTTCTATATCTTTTTCAAAGACCTATAATTTTCAAAACACATACATAAAATTTTTTTAAATATTTTTCTGATAGCTGTTATGACTTTGCCTATCTCCCGGTTTCGGCTTGACGTCGACTTCTGGGACTGAAGTTTGAGGATAACTATGAATACATTATTTCAAAAATTGACAAAAAAACAAATTACTTTTATATGGCTTCTCATAGTCTTGGTAACTATTCCAAGACAATAGTTTATAATACAATTATTCTACCGCATTTACTATATTGTTCAACTATCTTGTTCACTGCCAATGAAGCTGTATTCTCAAAATTACAAGTCTTGCAAAATAAAGCTATGAGAATAATATTGAATAAAAATAAGTACACCAAAATAAAATCTATGTTACAAGAATTGCAGTAGTTGAATATAAAAAATTTCATATCATATTTGGTTCTTATTTTTATATTTAAAATAAAAAATCATCTTTTGCCAGAACATTTAGAACACTAGATAGAATTGAATAATGATTACCACAATTATTATACAAGAGGAAATATAGATTTTCATTTACAAAATTGCAATAGTAATATAACTAGCACATCAATATTTCAGAAAGGATTACTTGAATTTAATAAACTAAATAATGATATAAAGTGTACTTGTAATTTAAATATATTTAAAAGAGAATTAAAGGAATATTTCATGGACAATGAAAATTCTTAGAGAAGCAAATTTTGTTTTTTTTTCTGAATGTGTGTATGTTATGTAATTGTTTAGTTTTTTTAGAAAAATGTAATTGTGGCAATCATGCTAAATAAATCTTAAACAAACAAACTAGCAAATCTGAATTTCAAAAAGGAGTATTTGAATTTAATAAATTGATTAATGATATTGAGCAAAAAAATGTTCAAGGTGAATTTAAAAAACACTAAAATTACAGAAAACGGATTCAAAATACTGCATAATGCTAAATCAATCTTCAACAAACAAAGTTTATACACAGTATTAAAAAAAAATTTTGTTTCAAACTAACATCGACACACCCCAATAATTACTGTTTTTTATACTTACCCAGAAAGTATAGGTCACGTTGTCTTCAAATTCATGAGTGAGCAGATGCGACGTCTCGTTTCCAGGCAGTTCCAGTTTGATATCGGACGCGTTCGTGGACGTGTAGTAGATATCGTATTTCGTTATAACTCCGTTAGGTTTGTGCGGTTTGTTCCACGAAATCAACACGTGAGAGTAGTTCGTCTGTCTCGCTGTTACGTTCCATGGTGGAGAAGGAACTCCTTCGTCTGTCCAGTAGACTACATACCTGATCGAAGATAGGAAGAACTTGGATAATAGCAAGAAATCATAAAATTATTTCAATTTAATTAAACGTAATTGGGGAATTATACAACGGATTTTCAAAGCTCGGTCATTTATTTTAACTGCTTGTAGGACCCGTCAAAAGGAGTTATACTAAGTGACATATAAATCCGAACACCCAGTTTAAATGGTTTTATTTTAATAAAAGTTGGTGAATGTATTTATCTTACTGTAAATAACAAGTGAAAAAATTTTCAGCCTTATCAGTTGGACATTCCGGTTTTTATACTGCTTTCTTTTAATTCACTAACGCTCTAAAAATGAATATTTCAGCCGCAGTAAAGAATCAACGTTGGCGGACTTTGGTTCTTGACATCCTTTACGATCGGTTACGATGCCTAGAGTACTGAGACCTGTACGATTTCGTCAACTTAGTGAGTTTGATAGGGGCCGTATAGTGGGACTTCGGGAAGCTGGACTTTCTTTTCGGGCAATTGTAGTTAGAGTGCAAAGAAGTGTAGACACTGTGGTTAGGTGTTGTCAGGCATGGCTTCGAGAAGGCCGTACGCAAAGAGCAAGGAGCACTGGACGCCGCCGTAGAACAACAAACCGTGAAGATTATTGGCCTTAAGGGACCGTTTCTCCACTACCAGGTCCATTGCAAATGAATGGTTTGCAGAACACGGAAGACCTATTGGCATGCGAAGTGTTTACCGATGAATGAGAAGTTTTGGCTTGTTTTCATACCGGCAACACTGGGTCCTCCGTTTAACTCGAAAACACCGACGTAATCGCCTTGAGTGATGCAGACAACGGTCACTCTGGGATCAGGAATGGAACAGTATTGTCTTTAGTGACGAGTCTCGATTTTGTTTAGGCATGCACGATGGTCGTGCCAGGGTTAGAAGGCGACGTGGTGAAAGGAGGAATCCACAGTTTTTTGTTGAAAGACATGTTCATCACACTGTTGGAGTTATGGTTTGGGGTGCTATAGCTTATGGTTTCAGGTCACCTTTAATCTTCATCAGAGGTAACATGAACGCGCAGCGTTATATCCACGAAGTTCTAGAACCCCATCTTTTACCCTATCTTGACACCCTGGCAGATCCAACTTTCCAACAAGATAATGCCCGACCACATGTTGCAAGAGTTACAATAGACTTCTTTCAATATAATGATGTCACATTGTTACCATGGCCACCAAGATCTCCCGACTTATCCCCAATTGAGCACGTGTGGGATATGATGGGTAGGAGATTGCTCAATTTTGCAACGTCCTCCTCAGACTCTAGAAGCACTTCGAGAGGAGTTGGTGGTTGCCTGGAATGAGATACCACAGGAGGACATTGACCACCTGATCAGAAGCATGCCTAGGCGCGTCGGAGAATGCGTAGCACATCAGGGTGCATCCACACATTATTAAAGGTCAAAGGGCTTTAAAGCAATTAGCCAAACTAACCGACTATGGAATTAGTGGTTCAGCCTACCTGTGGATAAAATCGTACTTGCAGAATAGGTCACAATTCGTGGCAATAACACACAACAACGCTGGTCAACTGAAGCAGGGCAAATCGGGTATGGTTAACATAAATATAGGCGTACCACAAGGATCTATATTGGGACCAGTGCTGTTTTCCCTTTATATAAATAACCTGGAGCAATGCTTCCCTGAAGCACATTTCACGTTGTATGCGGACGATGCCTCCATCATTATATCAAATAAAGACGAGGCTGATTTAATAAATAAATGTAACACCTTAGTGTACAACATCAATAGCTGGTTTGAAGAAAATCAGTTACTTCTTAATAGCGAGAAGACCACAGTTATAAGGTTCCATAACATTCAAAAGTCGATACCAGCGATTCAGCTTGTTCTGAACGGTTCAGCACTGCAGAGTGATAAAAGCACTAAGTTTTTAGGGCTCCACTTAGACCAATGTCTCAACTTTAAAGGACATTGCGATTATCTATCATCAAAAATAAATTCTCAAGCATATTTATTCAAGAACCTGAGATCTGTTTTCACGGAGAATCAGCTATTGATGTTGTATCATGGTCAGGTTGAGTCTCGCATGCTGTATGCTTTGTGCTTCTGGGGTTCATCGGTGAACGCTTCTAAGGTGTTCCTAAGTCAAAAACGGCTGGTGAGGTGTATGGTGGGAGTAAGCAGCACTTATAGTTGCAGAGAGTTATTCAAGAGATTAAAAATAATGACACTGCCTTCGCTTTTTCTCTACAATATGGCTATCTATACTTTTTTAAGCAAAGATGATTTCACCTTGAATAGTCATATACATCAAATGGGCACTCGCAGACAAAACGACATCCATATACCTTTTGCGCGTTATAAGTTAGGCAGCAGATCACCATGTATTTTAGGTCCTAAAATGACTCCATAAAAAGGATCACCTCAATAGGCCAATTCAAATCTGAGCTGAAAAGCTACTTTATAAGTAACTGTTTTTATGCAATTAGCGACTTTGTCAGTTTTTAAATATCGTTTTTTATCACTAATTTTAACTTGTTTGTTGTTGGATGTTATTTGTTTGTTTTTTTATTTATTTATTTACTTTGTACATATTTACTTATTGTATCTTTTTGACGAAACCTATACATGTTCATGCATGTCTAATGGAAAATAAATTCATTATTATTATTATTATAGTGCAATTATTTTGACATTTTTATCATTTACTTATTATGCTTCATTAAGTACTTATACAAAATTTTATTAAAATAAAACCATTTAAACTGGGTGTTCGGATTTATATGTCACTTAGTATATATAAAATTAAAATAAAAAAGAAATATATCAGTGGGACAGATCACTTTTTCATTTAAAAAAAGTACTGCTATTTAACTTTCCCGCTGGACATTTACACAGTATCTCAAAACGCAAAATGTACATTTTTCTCAAAAATTACAAACGCCACAAAAAATAGATTTCATTTACCTTGCCGGCGGGTATATGGTGCTGGTATTCTGGACTCTCGCGTAGACTGTCATGTTGTATTTGGTGAACGGTTGAAGATCCGTGAAGACGTACGAATGATCCGAGGTCCACGTTTTGTTCTCCCATTTATCCTCCCCAATTTTGCTGATGGAAGGCATGAACTCTAGCTTGACTGCTTCCGTAGGCACGTTCCAAAGGAGGCGGATTCTGTCCTCTTGCAGGCCGCTGCAAGAAACAATAAATATTTCGTAAGAATTTAAGCAGTCGAATCATTCACATATCTGGGTATGTATGTGGATGATTCAATATCATTATTTCAAAGATATGAACTTCTTCAGAGTTTCACATAACCTCAGTATGTATTCCAAAAAAAATTATGTATAACACTATAATTCATCTGCATCTTTTATATTGTTCAATCATCCTGTTCACAGGAAATGTAAAAATATTTTCAAAATTACACATTCTACAAAAATTCCAAATTCATGAGAATCATTTTAAATAAAAACAAATATGCTAAGATTAAGATGAAGATATTAAAAAAATATTTTTGATTCTTAAACTTTAACACCCTGTATATTTTCAAAAAATGTTACATATAAGACCCCCCTTAAAATGCGATCCTGTGAATTATGTTTCATTTTTGGTCACGATTTGTGAATCACCCTGTATATTGAATAAAAAAATTATATACAGTAATGGACAAAAGTATATAGACAAATTAATATTGTGCTGTATTTCTTTTTTTAACTTGTTTTATTGATACACCAACCTGTATACATAGTTCGTTATAGCATAATACTCACTTATACATAAATGAATTCAATAAAAAATTAATTGAAAAAAGCTGGAACTATGAAGGACAAAAATATATAGACAAAGCAAAACAATTATAGAAAAAAGAAGCAAAGTTCATTGAATTATAGAAAACGAACCATGTTTGTGTTAATATTTTGTAGCATAACCATTATTATCAATCACCGCCTGGCATCGTCTCGGCATAGATTGTAGAAGTTTCTTGATATAAGATTCATCAATCTGTCTCCATTTTTGCTCTAAAGCGGCGAAAAGTTCATCAATGTTTGAATAATTTTTATCTAATTATCAACATAGAGTTTCAATGGGGTTTATATCGGGAGACTGTGAAGGCCATTTGAGAACTGCTATTTTTTCATCCAGAAAGAATTCGAGATTTGAAGTGTGCTTCGGGTCATTATCTTGCTGGAAGATTGATCTCAAGGGCATATTGTCTTCCACATCTGATCCAAACATATTGAACTTGGATTCGTCACTGAAACATACCCTCTTCCAGTCACAGATGCTCCAATCAAGATGCAACCGTGCAAATTGTAATCGGTCCTTACGATTTTTCCTCGAGATTAGCGGCTTCTTATTCGGGCCACGTGCAAATAACTTCAAATCATTTAATCTTCTACTTATAGTTTTCGTAGAAACACTGACAATTCCTTTTGTTTCGATTTCGGCTTTTATTTGTCTTGGGATCGTTGGACAAAATTACTTTTATTAATCTAACTGATCTAGCATTTAGTTTCCTAGGCCGACCACTTCTCTTAGAGGCTTCCAAGATACCTTTTTGTTTATATTTGTTCAATATTGCCCAAACTGCTTTACGCTTCAGCTTCAAATTTTTGGCAATGTCGACTTGACGTTGACCATCTTTGTAGGACTCAATGATCTTAGTTTTCACATCGAAAGAAATTTCTGGACCACGCGGCATGGTCTTAAAATCACTCAGCTTATTCCACAATACTTGATGAACCCAAACTAATCCTATTCTGACACGAAACTGTACTAAACTAATGCTGAAATGAATTTGTCTACATATTTCTGTCCCTCATAAAAAAGTGCTCAATTCAGACTTGTATTGTGTTCATTGCAGATAACGTAAAAACAAGGAATTTAGTTTTTCTACTAATAACGCATTTGTTTATGGAGCAATGAAGTATGAATTCGTTTTGTAAAGGTATTTAGGTAAATATTCATATTTGTCTATATGCTTTTGTCCATTACTGTATATTGAATTAAAAAATCGGTTTGTGAATACTCAAAATGCCTAGTGATATAATTTTAATAGGCAAGAATGAAAAATTGCAAAAAATTGATTCAAAATAAACTTATAATTATACAAAATTGACATTGTAACATTAATGCTAAACAAATCATCATCATTAACCAAGTTTTTTTAAGCTCCTCATAGTAGCTGCGGTTCAATGGTATTCAGACTTCTACCTACCCGGCTACTTCGTTATAAAAAAATCGATAAGATAACTTGAAAATGATTTTTCAGCTCAGAGATGAGGCATTCGCTGTCTATCAGCATAACAAATCTGATCAGAATTGGGGCAGTTACAAAGATTTGAGAAATTATGCCCTTGCATCGCTTAGAAGAGAGAAAAAAGCATATATGTCACGTTTCCGGAATCTTAACTCTAGTCAAGCTTGGAAACACCTGAGGAGGATGAATGTGGTAGCCCAGAAACATGTTGCGATACCTCCCAGTCTCCTTGAGCCTAACATTTTAAATAATTATTTTCTTTCAATTTTCCAGACAGCTGCAGCTGATCCAAATTTGATTGATAGTGTCTCTAACTCTTATAGCGATAGACGCCATACACCGGATGCACCTCTGTTTGCTTTTAAACTCCTTACTCAGCAAGACATCGTCAATATAATCTCTCACATTAAGTCTACGGAATGTGGCTCTGATGGTTTAACTTTAAATATGGTTTGCTTTTGTTTGCCTGATACCATAGAACATATAACTCACATTATTAATGTCTGTCTCGAAACATGTTACTTTCCCGCCAGTTGGAAAAATGGTATTATTATTCCAATAGCTAAAACTAATCATCCATAACAATATTCGGATCTCAGGCCAATTACCTCATTATGCTTTCTATCAAAAATACTCGAAAGAGCTGTCTACTCACAACTAGTGGAGTTTTTCGAACAAAACCACTTATTTCCTCTACATCAATCAGGTTTCAGAGCTGGTTACAGCACTACTTCGTCTTTATTACATCTTACTGATTCCATCATTCACAATTTAGATAATCACATCAACACCGTCTTGGTACTGTTAGATTTCTCGAATGCCTTTGATATGGTCAATCACCAGATACTACTGAGTAAGTTATCTCATTATGGAAAGTCACATATAGTTCTAAGGTTCTTTGAGTCATACTTGCTAAATCGTCAACAAACAGTGAAAACTGATCAGGAAATTTCCTCCTCTGAGCCAGTTCCTTCAGGAGTTCCTCAGGGCTCAGTATTAGGTCCCTTACTATATCTGATTTATACGATCGATCTGCAAGACTGTTTAGTCCACTGTAGTATGCAAACTTATGCAGATGATACTCAGTTAGTGTTTGGTTTCGATCCATCAAAGGTTGATGAAGTTTCTTTTAAAGTTAATTTAGATTTGGCTAGCATCGGTGATTACTGTAACAAACACTGCTTGAAGATCAATCCTAATAAAACTACTGCAATGTTGTACTGTTCGAAAAACTCCTACCGTGAAATGAAGTAGAGGATTTGTGTTTTTTTTGATGAGACACTCATCCCTTTTGTGGATTACGCCAAGAATCTCGGTGTTACACTTGACTTAAATATGAGATTCGATCGGCATGTCTCTTTCTTATCTAGAGTAACGTATTTGAGTTTGAAACTCCTGTATTCTAATCGATACATCTTGAATTTTAAAACCCGAAAAAAGCTTGCTGAAAGTCTTGTGTTGTCTGTCATTTCTTATTCTCTTGTTCTGTATTACCCATGTTTAGACCACGTCCACAAAAGGAAACTCCAGAAAATTCAGAACAGCTGTTGTAGGTTTATTTTTGGATTGCGCAAGTTTAGTCGCGTCTCAGATAAAATCAAAGAACTCAACTGGTTGCGAATTGATAAGTTATTTTTATATCTTTTGACCGTCTTCACGCATAAAGTTCTATTATCTAACAGACCAGCTTACCTCGCTAGCAAATTAGTTCACCGAGGTAGTTTTGTTACCAGAGCTCTTAGATTTAATGCTAATTTTAACATGCCTCCTCACAATACCTCGGTCTTTGAAAGAAGTTACACCTATAATGCTGTCAAGCATTACAATGCAGTGGCTATCGATCCAAACAGGTTGTTTCTTTTAAGAAATTAATGAAAAGTCAGCTGCTGGAGTCCATTTAGTTCAGTTTTTCTTGTGCTCATGTGATTTTTTTTTGTTTGACTATTTTCTACTATTTTTGTTTCAAACTTAAAACTCTCGCAATGCTATCTGCATTTGTCTCGTGCAGTCAATGTTGTCATTCTTATGAATTGTATTTTTTTTTTTGGTATGTTATTATTTTGTTTATATGTTTAAGTATTTTTTTTCCTGTTGTGGGGTTGAGTGTAAGAGTCTGGCTAAACTTCGCCTCACTGCACTTAATAAAGGCATTATTATTATTATATCATTATTTCAAAGATATGAAAAAGATAAATTACTTCTTCATAGTTTCCCATAACCTCAGTATGTATTCCAAAAAATTTATGTATAACACTATAATTCTTCCCCATTAGTTATATTGTTCAATCATCCTGTTCTCACAGTAAATGTAAAAATATTTTCAAAATTACACATTCTACAAGAATTCAAAATTCATGAGAATCATTTTAAATAAAAACAAATATGCTAAGGTTAAGATGAAGATATTGAAAAAACATTTTTGATTCTTAAACTTTAACACCCTGTATCTTTTCAAAAAATGTTACATAGAAGACCCCCCTTAAAATGCGATCCTGTGAATTATGTTGTTTCATTTTTGGTCACGATTTGTGAATCACCCTGTATATTGAATATTGTGCTGTATTTCTTTTTTAACTTGTTTTATTAATACGCCAACCTGTATACATAGTTCGTTATAGCATAATACTCACTTATACATAAATAAATTCAATAAAAAATTAATTGTAAAAAACTGGAACTATGAAGGACAAAAATATATAAACAAAGCAAAACAATTATAGAAAAAAGAAGCAAAGTTCAATGAATTATAGAAAACGATGTTTGTGTTAATATTTTGTAGCATAACCTTTATTATCAATCATCGCCTGGCATCGTCTCGGCATAGATTGTAGAAGTTTCTTGATATAAGATTCATCAATCTGTCTCCACTTTTGCTCTAAAGCGGCAAAAAGTTCATCCTTGTTTGAATAATTTTTATCTCGTATTTGCTTATCTAATTATTAACATAGAGTTTCAATGGGGTTTATATCGGGAGACTGTGAAGGCCATTTGAGAACTGGTGTTTTTTCATCCAGAAAGAATTTCTTTGCGAGATTTGAACTGTGCTTCGGATCATTATCTTGCTGGAAGATTGATCTTAAGGGCATATTGTCTTCCACATAGGGTAACATGACATGCTTTAGTATTTCTGTGTATACAAACTTATCTATAATGACATCTATTGTATGTAAAGGTCCCATCCCAAACCCCGAAAAGCAACCCCAAACCATAACAGACCCGCCTCCATGTTTGACAGTGGGCAAAGTGTACTTGGGGTTCAATCTTTGTCCACTAGGACGCCTAACGTAATGAACACCATCTGATCCAAACATATTGAACTTGGATTCGTCACTGAAACATACTCTCTTCCAGTCACATATGCTAGAATCAAGATGCAACCGTGCAAATTGTAATCGAACCTCACTGTTTTTCCTCGAGATTGGCGGCTTCTTACTTGGGCGACGTGCAAATAACTTCAAATCATTTAACCTTCTACTTATAGTTTTCTGCTTTTATTTGTCTTGGGGTTTTAAACAGATCTTTGGACGAAATTACTTTTATTAATCTAACTGATCAAGCATTTAGTTTTCTGGGCCAACCACTTCTCTTAGAGGCTTCCAAGATACCTTTTTGTTTATGTTTGTTCAATATTGCCCAACCTGCTTTACGCTTCAGCTTCAAATTTTTGGCAATGTCGACTTGACGTTGGCCATCTTTGTATAACTCGATGATCTTAGTTTTCACATCGAAAGAAAACTAATCCTCTTCTGACACGAAACTGTACTAAACTAATGCTGAAAAGAATTTGTCTACATATGTCTGTCCCTCATAAAAAAATGCTTAATTCAGACTTGTATTGTGTTCATTGCAGATAATGTGAAAACAAGAAATTTAGTTTTTCTACTAATAACGCATTTGTTTATGGAGCAATGAAATATTAATTCGTTTTAGGTAAATATTCATATTTGTCTATATACTTTTGTCCATTACTGTATATTGAATTAAAAAATCGGTTTGTGAATACTCAAAATGCCTAGTGATATAATTTTAATAGGCAAGAATGTAAAATTGCAGAAAATTGTTTCAAAATAAACTTCTAATTATATGGGGTTGTCCAAGACGGACGCAGGAAAGTAAACGCATATTAAAACAAGAAAGATTGATATTCAAATCAAGTTGGGTACTTTATTTTGAAGGTTCATTTATACCATTTATGTATGAAAAATAATATCGCTCGAATGTTCACTACGACTGGATTTACAGACGTCCACGCGATGGTCGAAATTTTCAATGACATTTTGCAACATGGTCGGTTCTATGGCATTTATCTCGGCAATGATGTTTGAGTTCTTGGAGGGTGGCTGGTTTGTTAACGTAGACTTTGCTTGTCAAATATCCCCATAACAAGAAGTCCAAGGGAGTCAAATCGCACGATCTTGGTGGCCATGGCACATTTCCTCTGCGCGAAATCACGCGATCTCCAAAGGACTGCAATCGATGGATATTGACGTTGGTTGTGTGGCATGTTGCACCGTCTTGTTGGAAATAAACATCGTCCATATCCATTCCTTCAAGTTGCGGCAAAAAATACTCCTCTATCATCACGTGATATCGCTCAGAATTGACGGTAACGGCGTCCCCGTCCGCATTTTCGAAAAAGTAAGGTCCGATGATGCCTTTTGACCACAATGCACACCACACAGTCACTTTTTCAGGATGCATCGGCTGCTCTTGATACTCGTGGGAATTTTCGTTCGCCCAGATGCGGCAGTTTTGCTTGTTTACCGTCCCATTCAAAGTGAAATGCGCTTCGTCGCTGAACATGATTTTTGATGAAAAATTGACATCAATTTGGCGGTGTTCAAGGAGCCAATCTGAGAACGTTCGGCGCGAAAAATGGTCAGCCCGACGCAGCTCTTGCGTCAATTGGATCTTGTAGGCGTGTACATTCAAATCCTTGTGGAGAATGCGGAGCAAACTGGTTCTTGGAATCGACGCGTTGTTGATTGTTTCGGATCGTCTCTCACACTCTCCTTCACAACAGCAATATTTTCCGGTGTGCGAACGCTCCTTGGCCGGCCAGAGCCTGGCAGATTTGCCACAGAACCTGTTGCCTCGAATTTACGCACCAGACGACCGATGGTTGTTTCGTTTGGGCGGTTGTTGCGACCGAAATGTTCACGAAGCGCGCGAAACGTGTTTTTTATTTTTGCACCATTTTTGTAGTGCTCTTGAATAACTTTAATGCGGTCTTCAATCGAATACGACTCCATAGCGATCAATGGTAAACATTCAACTAACAAAATGACATGTCGGTGACAGAAAACAAAGATGGCGTCTATGTCAAATTGACGTGTACTTTCCTGCGTCCCTATTGGACAACCCTTTACCAAAGTGACATTATAACATTAGTGCTAAATAAATCAGCATCATTAACCAAGTTTTTTTAAGCTCCTCATAGTAGCTGCGGTTCAATGGTATTCAGGATTCTGCCTACCCGGCTACTTCGTTATGAAAAAAAATCGATAGCATTTTATGAAAAAAAAAATCCAAGTAATAACTCACCTAATATCGACATGTATGTATATGACCTGATAGATCTTGTTCGTCTTCTGACAGTTCGTTTCATCGTATCCATCTTTGCAGTCAACTTTTCCGTCGCAGAGCAGAGCGAGCGGATTGCAACCGCCGTCGCAAGGGAACAGACCAACGCTGCAGCTCGGAGTCGCCGGTCCGTTCGGCAGGTTGTGCTCGCACAGGGACTCGTCGGAGCTGTCCGGGCAGTTTCTGATTCCATTACATACAGCAGACATCTAGAAATAATAATTAGCCTTTTATCACCGACCGCGTTCTCTATCGAGAAGGCAGTTTACGAGGGTGGTCTGGATAGTTACCGACCGCAACGTGAATGAAAGTTAATGAATTTCGTTGTTCAGCTGTTGACAGGTACTCACCAAAGTGTCAGCGCAGTTGTTATGTAACAATAAAGGATATATTGTAACAATATTTTTAGACTTCAAAAGGGCATTTGAGACTATAGATAGGGATAAATTTTTAATGAAATTGCGTCACTATTGCTTTAAAGGATCAGTTTACACATTCTATCACCATTTCTGTTTTTGTTATTTGTGAACGATCTTTTAGGTCTAATAGTGGATGAAATTTTAGCTGGAACGACTACATAGAGTATATAACCAAAAAAATGTTTTGTCTCTAAGAAACTTAAAGTCACGTAATGAATAAAAAACACTTATTAAACGTCTACTACTCTAGTGTATCTTCCCGCCTAAAATATTTAGTGCTATATTGGGGATCGTCTGTCGAGGCTCAACGAATCTTTATCCTTCAAAATAGAAATAGAAAAACCTAACTTTAGCATCATTTCTCATCCTAGAGGCGTGCCTCATGTGAAATCATATCCATACAAACTTAATTACCCCCCATGAATCCCAGAAATACAATCTAAGGGATGATAACGTTACATTGAAGAACTGTAGCCTGTAGCACATACCGTAATAGCCCTGACTACCTATGTGGATCTAACTTCAATAATTTGCACTCCGAGTTAAAAGCCATCAACGACTTGACAGTCTTCAAAAAACAACTTTTAACACACTTGTATTATACATACAGCAGACGCTCGATAACGTAAACACGGGATAATGAAAACTTGCGCTAATATAAACACAAACTTTGTTCTATAGGATCAAACGGAACGCGCGATAACGTAAACAATGTGTACGCTCGATAACGTAAACAACTCTCGGCGCACGGAAACAGCGCGACGGTAAAATGCTGAAGCCTCGATGATTTATGTCGGGCGTCGGGGAGTCCCCGATTTATGATGTACAGTGTAGGGGATTCACCTCTGCGATAAAATACGACAAACTCGGTCAGTCGTATGATCGTTTAGGATACGTTTATACGTACGTATGTATTTCATTTTTCAACTTAAGTGAATACATTGCACGCGTTAATACATTTTACGACTATGGCATCCACATCCTATAAAAGAAAGTGTTTAAAGTTGAGTGAGAAAGTGAAAATCATAGACGAAGTTGCACTAGGTGCGGCAGTGACACAGTTAGCAAAAAAATATGGAGTATCGAAAGCAACAATCTGTAAAATTAAGCGTATGAAAACTCAAATTTTACAAAGAACGTGAAATACATTTGGAGGTCCGGGAAAAAGAAAAACTTTAAAAAATGCGAAGGCACCTAAAATGGAAAATTCCCCGTATAAGTGGTTTTTGAAACAACGGGAAAATCATGTCCCAGTTAGTGGCGAAGTACTTAAACAGAGAGCGAGACTGTTAAATGAAAAACTGAAAGAAACTGAAAATTTCGTAGCTAGTGATGTCTGGCTACAACGATTCAAAACAATATATGGAATTCGACTGCTGTCTATATCTGGTGAAAAATTATCAGCACAACCACAATTAGTGCAACCATTTAAAGACAAATTGATGAAAACAATTACCGAGCTAGATTTAAGAATGGAACAAATTTACAACGCAGATGAAAGTGGCCTTTATTGGAAAATGTTACCAGAGAAAACCTATGCTGCATTATTTGAAAATCACTAATGCTAATGGTTCACACAAAATAAAGCCACTGGTAATTGGGAAAGCAAAAAATCCGCTCTCATTTAAAAATGTTAATATCCCTGTCGATTATGACTGTCCAAAAACCGCTTGGATGACTAGCAGTATATTCCTGAAATGGTTCCACAGGTGCTTTGTCCCTCAGGTATGACAATCAATTATCACAAATGCTCTATTCATAATTTGAAGATGTGTTTTCAATTTGTAGGTAAAAGGTTCCCTAAAACAACAGAAGCTTCCAATTAAAGCGTTGTTACTATTGGATAATGCACCAAGTCATCCTCCCGAGCAACAACTGAGGAGCAGGGATGGGTCAATTTTCGTCATGTACATGCGGCCCAACGTAACACCGTTAATTCAACCGATGGACCAGAATATAATAAGACTCACCAAACTATACTATAGGAAGTTTCTACTTTCGTCTGTCTTATCAAGGAATCCTGAAAACTTATCTGAGGCTTTAAAAAAGTAACATTACGAGAAGCTGTTTTAGATTTACATATGGCCTGGAATGAACTTAACTAGAAAACTATTCAAAAATGTTGGAACAATCTCTTTTGTACCAATAATGAAGATGATGAAGAAGACGATGTCCCCTTAAGAGAACGTTTGCGATCCAATAATGATAATGTTATTAGTGTGTCATTGGATTTATTGAAAACAGTGAATCCCAACACTGTTTGTACTCCTGCTGATATTAATTTATGGAACGAAGATAAGCAGACGAATGATGCTGATAAGGAGGAGGATATGGACAGTGAGGATGATGAGAACGATCCCGTTGAAGTCAGAAGTGTAGTGACTGACGCGCAAGCTATACAAGTTTTTAATCAAGCTTTAGATTGGGCTGAAAGAAAAGAAGTTTCATACACGGATATTTTAGTTCTTCGTAAATTACGGGCGTAGGCATTGGAAGACAATGCTAAGCGCAAATTTACGCAAACATTGTTAATTATTTTTCTTCTAATTAAAAAAATACTTATCGCTCTTAGAATATTTGTTTATTTTGTTATAAATAGTATGTATTAAACGTTTCTTTTAATAAATCAAATACTATATAAATCACGTTCGCTAATGTAAACATTTCGATAATGTGAACCACACTTGGATTAAATTAATTTACATTATCAAGCGTCTGCTGTATAAGCAAACATACTGTTTTTGCTACATATTTTATAACTTGTTATGATCTATTTTATTCTAATTTAGTCATGTATATTTTTCTTGTGCTTACGTAAATCTGACCTTTTCCTGTTGACCTTTCATATCCGCAAAGCAATTTGAATAAAGGTTATTATTATTATCATCCAAGTTCAGCAATATCTTTAATGAATCCAACAACATTGACAACATCGTCATGTCCAGTCCTCATTTGCATCCTCTATTTGGTGCATGCGGTACTTGCGATCCCCAAAACTCTTCTAGAATGACTAGCTACTAACGATGCTTAATGACACTATTTCATCAAAAATTGAAAATACGTTGGGTGTTCCACAGGGCAGTATCCTGGGACCACTTCTTTTTATTTTATACATAAATGATTTACCTGCCATAGTCAAAAAGTGCAAAATTCTGATTTTCGCCGATGACACTATGATTTATATAAGTACTAAAAATATTCAGTCTGGTATCTCTTATATAAATGAAGACATGAAGCTTGTCTCAAAATGGTTAGCATCTAACAGACTAAAATTAAATGCAAGTAAAACGAAAGCCTTGTTAATCGGAAAAAAACAATGTACAAATGTTCAACTGAATATTGATGGTGAAGATATTGAATTCGTAGAAAATTTTAAATACCTGGGGGTTTTTGTTGACTCTCGATTAATTTTTGATATTCATTATGAAAAAATTATAAATAAGATTAGTAGTAAAGTGGGATATTTATCGAGAGTTTCTGGATGTCTGAGTTCATATAGCAGATAAATTATCTATAATACCATCTTTCTTCCAAATTTCTTGTACTGTTCGACTATTCTATATTTAGCAAATAATTCCATTTTTGAAAGACTGCCAATTTTACAAAATAAGTGCATGAGAATAATACTAAATAAAGATAAATATACTCCAATTAGGCAAATGCTTAGCAAATTAAAATGGCTCAATGTAAAAAATTTTATCAAATATCTTGTAATGATGTTCATTTATAAAGTAAAAAATAGATGACTTCCATTTAATGACCAAAAAGTATAACATATGTTACAAATCTGTATTCCATCAAGGGTTGATTGAATATAATAAATTATACTCGGAGATAAAAGACCAGAAAACTTTGACAAAATTTAAAGTAAAATTGAGAAATCACTTGTTAAATCTACAATTATAGGTTGCCCAGCATTTACATCATACACCATATGGCTTGAATTTACTAGTTCTAAGTTGTTTACAATTATTCTGTTTATGTAGCCAAATGTGCTAAATAAATCTTTCTACTACTACTACTTACGGGTATACAGCTGCCGTCCATCCTACACCTAAACTGTCCGTTGGTGCAGTTGTTGTATCCGTTGCAGTTCATCTCGTCCTCTCCGTTCGGGCAATCGTACATTCCGTCACACCTCCATGCGGCGTAAATGCATCGGCCGTCCTCGCAACTGTACTGGTTGTGGCCGCAAATCTGGAACGCATCAACCCCGAACGCTAGCGACTTTCGTGTAACTTAATTCTCAAAAACGTGCAATGAACGCTTTTTATTTTTTATCTCGCAAACGGAGCGAGATACGAAAGAACCTCGGGAGACGAAAAAGTTGTATTTTTAGATGTTAAAAAAGAGAAAAATCGAAAAAACCACTGGTGCACAAATTTTTTGTGGAATATATTGGTTAAGGTGTTTTCCGGGACACCACTGGGCTAAATTAGCCCCTTGCTGCCCTTAATACCACTGCTAAATTTAAACAAAATCTTTAAGCTAAAACCAATTTTTTTTTTTAAAAGTGACACCCTGTATCTGTAAAATGAAACATTTCTGCACCTACGTTTATAATGGGTGATTTTCTTGCTAGTATCTTTTTGGCAACACTGTTTTTGACAGATGACGCGTGAATCGTGTCTTGTGTCATTGTTAAGCTTGTTCAGTTTGGTCTATAATTTAACCATGAATCGACTTACGAACGAACAACGCTTGCAAATTATTGAATTTTACTATCAAAATTCATGCTCGGTTAAGAGAGTGCATCGAGCACTGCTTCCAATTTATGGGCAATTTGGTCGGCCTACTGAGGGAGCTATTCGGAAGCTTGTGACTAAATTTCGAACCCAGTTTACATTATTGGACATTAAACCACCAACACGCAGGCGTAGAGTGAAGACTGAAGAAAATATTGTGGCTGTATCCCCCAGTGTTAGTGATGACCTTGAAATTCGATTCGCCGCCGTTCGCAGCAACTGGGCCTACGTGGAAAATTTTGCGACAGGATTTGGGTGTAAAACCTTATAAGATACATCTGGTGCAAGAATTGAAGCGACACGACCTCCCACAAAGTTTCCAATTTGGTGAATGGGCGCTGGCAAAGTTGGAGGAAGATCCACATTTTTATCGAAAAATTGTGTTCAGCAACGCTCATTCCTGGTTGAATGGGTACGTTAACAAGCAAAATTGCCGCATCTAGAGTGAAGACCAGCCAGAAGCATTGCAAGAGCTACCAATGCATCACTGCTTGGTGTGGATTATGGGCCAGTGGCATCATCGGGTCGTACTTCTTCAAAGACGACAATGGCCGGAACGTAACTGTGAATGGCGAGCGCTACCGTGCGATGATAACAAACTTTTTTTTGCCCAAAATGGAAGAGCTGGACTTGGCTGACATGTGGTTTCAACAAGACGGTGCCACATGCCACACCGCACACGAAACAATGGCCCTATTGAGAGGCGAGTTCGGTGAACAGTTTATCTCACGTTTGGGGCCCGTCAATTGGCCGCCTAGATCCGTTGGAATATTTCTTGTGGGGCCATGTTAAGGCTAATGTCTACAGGGATAAACCAGCAACGATTGACGCACTGGAAGCCAATATTGAAGCATTTATTCGTGAGACACCGGCTGATATGTTGGAGAGAGTGTGCCAAAATTGGACCTTGAGCATGGGCGATCTAAAGCGGAGCCGCGGCCAACATTTACATGAAATAATCTTTAAACATTAAATTATATCGACCGTTCTATCGACTCAAATAAAGATTTAATCGTTTTTTCAAATTTTTTGTGTTTTTTTTTTTGAAAATCACCCGTTATAAACTTCTCATCTTAAAATTAAATTACTCAATCACCTCCTGAAGTTTGGCGACGTACCTGGTGAGCATTCGGTGATGGCGTGGTGGTAGTTTCGGCTGTCACTGTGGGCGCCATAGGTTCCTGACAATCTCCTTCGTCGCTGTCATCTCCGCAATCGTTCACGCCATCGCATCGCCACCAGAACGGTATGCAACGGCCATTCTTGCATTTGAACATCCAGTCTTGACACGTGCCGTTCTAGAAAAAAAATTATCAAAATAGAATGGACGAGGTCTGTAAATTAAGTGATGAAACTGGCGACGTAGCGTTCGATCTGGCAACACTGAGGCGTCGGGCTTGAAAACGAATGAAAATCTATGTTGAAAATAGTTTTTTTACAGCATGCGGATTTTCTACTGCCCAAACATGATTGTTGTGAAAATTGTGCAGTCCATTTCGTGTAAATGTGGACTCGTCTGTACACAAAATTAATTTTGTAAAATCTTCATTTGTAAGCCATTGGCAAAATGCAACTCTTCTAGGATGATCTTCAAGTTGTAATGCTTGTGCCCGTTGATAATGCTAATACTGTTCTTGTCGTATCGTCTTCCACACTTTACTATGAAAAACTTCAACTTGAGCTGCTATGACTCTAGTACTTATTTTTGAGTCGTCTTCGACCATTTATAAAACGTCTTCCTCAATTTGCAACATTTCAGGTTGGACAGGTCTTCCAGCGCGACCTCCTCGTTGTTCTTTTAAATATCCTGTGTCACGAAGTGGAAACCTTTCCGTTTCCGTTTAAGAACAATTTCAGCAACAATCTCGCCGACTTAGCAAGTAATTATATTTTTTCCTCCTAATTGTTTATTGTTGCTATTTTTAAAAAATTGTTTTTTAGCTCCAGACGATGATGGCATAGACCATCGAAAGCTCGAGTTCAAGTTGTAAGAGTGTATTTATGCAAAACTTTGCCTTCTACCCAAAGAAATTCAAGGATATATATATATATATATGTATATATTTTTTTTTGAGACGTGGTCATTGTCGTCTAGACCAGTTAGGTGAAAAATTAAAACTTCCGCCTTTTGTTGGGTACTTCGACAAAATTTAAGCAAAGAGGACTCTTTATACTTTTTTTAATTCTCTCTAGCTTTCAATGGACTTTGCCATCATCATCAGGAGCTGCAATTACAATGATAACAGTAGCAACAAAAGTGTAAAATGAATTTAAATTGACTCAACTTACAGTAGTATGTGAGGATGTTGCTAATTGTTGTTTACGTATAGGATGAGGGAAACGTCCAGTAACATGGTGAGAGCTGGATACATGGTACAATGGTCAAAATTATATAAAATATGACAAGACAAGTTAAAAACAGATTAAAAATTATTTAAAAAACATGAGCATTACGTCGTGAAGCCACTTGATGATTGCACAAAATGGTGGTCATGGAATAATGAGTGAGATGAACCTTTGACAGAAGGCCGAAGGTTGTCAATGTCTGTGTTGAAAGATGGAACGAATTGTGGGCGTGTGCCAAAACGTTGCCAAATCACTTCAGATGATGTGATTTTCAGAATGTTATGTAAGAAATTGTTAAACCGACCAGAGGCAGTTGAATAAACTATATTTTAATTAATGGGAATTTTAAATTAACAATTATTAATAAATCGTGAGAAGAGAATTATTAGATTTTGAGTGGAATGAAATTTGTTGGTGGAATCGGCCAAAACACAGATTATATTTATGGTTGTGAAAAGTCGAAATTTGGGGAGATATGTAAGTTCTCCAATTTTTCGCAGTTTAGCAAAGGGATCAAAACATAAATGTTCGTCAGCGCAGATTTACCCGTATGATTCTGCGTGAGCTTGATAGAGATCAGACCACAAGTATTAGGAGAGTTTCTGGTGCCTTGAGAATTTCAGCAAGCCATGTTCACCGTGTTTTTAGAAATGACCATAGACGTGCTTACCATTTGCAACCTGTGCAAGGACTACAGCCAGGGGACGGCGAACGAAGAAGCACATTTTGTCAGTGGATTCTTGATAGAACTGATAATAATAGGGAGTTTTTAAGTAACGTTTTATGGACCGATGAATCATGCTTCACTAGACGTGGAGTGGTAAATTTTCATAATCAACATATTTGGTCGCATGAAAATCCGCATGCAGTTCGGGAAAGACATTTTCAGCATTGATTTAGTGTGAACGTGTGGATTGGTACATATCTACCGTAATCGACTATTTGGACCCTACCTTTTGCCTGCAAGGTTAAATGCTGCGACCTTCTTGGAATTTTTAAAGGCTGAACATGCAAATATGTGGGATGATGTTATGTTAGATTTAAGAAGATTGGCCTGGTTCCAGCTTGATGGTTGTCCAGCTCATTATTCGAGAATAGTTAGAAACTGGCTGGTCGAAAATTACCCAGAAAGATGGATCGGCCGTGGAGGACCAATCGCCTGGCCTCCACGATCCCCTGACCTAAATCCATTAGATTTCTTTGTGTGGGGATTTCTAAAAGAAAAAGTGTACCAGACTACCGTAACCACAAGAGATATGCTAATAGACAGAATCAGGAATGGATGTAATGAAATAAGGCCTTATTTGAAAAATGCGATCATTCGAAGATGTGAATTGTGTATTGAACATTATTTACATTTACATTTCGAGCAACTACTTTAGATTTTGTATGTTTGTCCTAACTATCCAATAGCATTTTAGTTGTAAATAATTAATTTAATTTGTTAAAAATAATATTGGAACATTAAACAAATTAATATTCTGTTTTTTGTGTTTATTTGGAGTTAGGAATTATTGCTGTGTTTAAAAACACAATCTAAACGATCATCTTAATTACTTGTAATGCCCAAATCGAAAATGTAAAAAATATATTATTTTCCCATAAATAATTAAAAATGCATCGAACCTTAAAAATCGAAATATCTCAAAACCGGCTAACTATAACGAAAACTCACAGGAGACCTTTTTTATGTTGAAAAGTGCGAAGAATCAGTTTTTTTTATTCAAAAAGCAAAAAAATGCACTAAGAAACATTTTTCGGTCATTTTAATACACTACAGGTACAGTAGAGAGCGCCCTCTAGCGGCTACAGTAAAACTATGCCAATGGTTCGTTTTGTCGTACCAAAAAACTCTTGTATACCAATTTTCACTGTTATACATCAAATATTGTTCGAAATATTTAAAAAAAAACTATTTTAGAAAGTAAATTTAAACACCCTGTATTTCGGAAGCCACGCATTTTTCGACCCATTTTCATATAGACTTTATACATTAATTTTAAAAGTTCTATCGAATCTTAAAGTTATGCAACAATAAACTGAAACAACCTGTATATATACATATGTATATAGCACATAAACTTGTGGATACTACTTTAGAACTGTCCAATAGTGATATTAAAAAAATATATGAACTGGTTAAACGTTAATAAACTCAAACTGAACACTAAAAAATGTATGTCAGTAGGGAAACATTTAGGTGACAACACAATTAGGTTCATGATTATTGACGACATTGGAGCATTAATGCTAAATAAATCTTCAACAAACAAAAAAATTTGGTCATTGTGAATGCAAGAAAAAACGCAAATATCTCAGAACTTCTTAATTAGTATATGGTTGTGAGTTGTGACTGTTGCGAGCTGCGAATGCGAATTGTTAGGATTGGTATTGGTGGTTTCTATTTTCAATCTCTAGGTTGTTTTTTTGTTTGACTAGCCAGTATTATTTTATTCAGTTTCAACAATGTTTAAAAAGAGGAAAATAAGTTATTTGTGGAATTTTTTTCCGAAATCGACGAAAATTTCGCAAAATGTAATATGAGTGCAGCCAAAATATCATATATATATAAACATAGGTAGTAAGTCAAATAAACCAACCTTGTTAAGTTCTTGAAAAGAAATGTTTGCAGTTTAACATATTACCTGTTGGGTTTAGTTTTTGCATTCTTCTAATTAAAATTATAATTATAAGAGACATTTGTTTTCATTTTTAATAAAATCTACAAATTTGGAATTATAAGATTTAAAAAAAAGGTATTATCATTTCTCCTAACCTTTATACAGGGTGTCCGCAAAGTTGGGGTTTTCCTTTTCAGAAACAACTACCTTTGAAATAACAAAGGTAATGTATAGTGAAACGAGGGCGACCAAGTAAAAAAAAATAAAGGAAAAAGTACTCACTCTCCAGTTGACGAGAAGGGCTAAGGACGTCTCTGCCCGAAATCATACCGCTCCAACAGAAAATGAAATCAGCTGATGGGCTACCGAGCAGACGCAGGCAAACAAGGAAGGCAAAATGTTGCGTAAAAAGTCTAGGTATTGCATCCCGTCCAATCGATTTGGGAGAATCAATGGTCCAATGAGCATACCATTCACCATGCCAGCCCAAACATTCACCGAAAATGTTTATTGAAAATGACCAAACATGAGTGTTGCGAAAGTTATTCACCCCATTACGCGTGAACGTAGATTCGTCTGTCACCAATATGCACTTCAAAAAGTCCGGATTATTGTCATGTTGATGCAACAACCACTCAAAAAACCGCACTCTTGCTGGAAAATCGTCAGGTTGAAGGGCTTGTACACGTTGGACGTGAAACGGATACAGCCCCTCTTCACGCAGCGTTTGCCACACTTTAGTTTTTGATACTTGCACTTCTCTAGCCACGTCTCTAGTGCTTGTTGAGGGATTCTCGCCTACGCGATTACCCCTACACGCGTGACCGTAACCGTCGGTTGAAGGTTGCATACCGACCTGACACACTGACCCCGACCCAGTTCTGTAGTCCGGTTGAGCCAGTAACCTTGTACCAGTCGGTGATGTTGCGGGTCGCGGCTACAGGACGGTATCCAGATATTTTTGATGTTGCAGAGCCCTTTATCTCGGTTCCCTTAAGACATTAGTGTATATGGTACTAAGAAAAATTGCTTATGTTTTCAAGATCTACACGTCGTGTAAAGGAAAATCCCAACTTTGCGGACACCCTACCCTGTATTATAACACAAATACAATGTTATTTCATTTTTTGTGATAACAGTTGTTAACACATAACAGTTAAATATGACCAATTTAATGTAATTAACCTTTTATAGAAGGGAAATAATGAAATAACACAGTCCCACAATTTCAAATCGCAATCACAGGTTGCACTCGCAGTGAGTGGTAAATCACAACTTTGATCATCTCTATTAATTAGACTTAACCCAGTCTGGCTGTGAAGTTCAGAAAGGAAACGAATCATCTTACCCTCGCCTCGAACGGCGGCACAACCGGTTGTCCAGACGGCGCCATAGTCGCCGCAGGCGTCGTGCAATTCACCTCGTCTCTGCCATCCTGACAATCTCTATCTCCGTCGCACACCCACGTGCTGTAGATGCATCTGTTCGTCGGCGGACCGCACGAGAACTGTTCTTCGGAACAGGTGTTCTTGGCGCAATCGAGTTCGTCAGAGTTGTCGCTGCAATCCGGCTCGCCGTCGCAACGCCACGTTATGGCGATACAGCGACGCGTGCCGCTCGAACATTTAAATTCGTCATCTAGAATAACGTCACGTCATTATTTAATAACTAAAACAAACGGTGCTATGTTGGGCTACCGAATAAATTTTATCGTTAGTATAACGCGTTCACAGTTTTTAGTTAAAAGTATTGGTATCGGAGATATTCTCCACGCGTTGAGCATGCCAGACAAACCCGCCAGGCGTCTGCCTCTCGTAGTAACTCGGTCGAACTTCGTGAATCCAGAACAGGCTCCTTTGTTCCTAGGGTGGAAACTAACTATACTATCTAAAACTGTAATGACTCATCGATGTTCACGTGAACATCACTTAACTACCTGTAGTCGGCTGTTCATAGGCGGGGTATGATAGTTTAACGTGGGTGAACTAGATTTGTCACATGCTTAATAAAGAGTGGTTTGAAACATATTGTAAGTCAAAAATTTGGGAATTACCTTTATTCATCGTCGCTTCCACTTACATCTGACAGTAATAAACTGTCGCTATCGCTTTCCTCGTTGAAATTGACTATAACTGGCTCTATGATGGTGTCGATGTGGTGGTCAAGCTGCCACATTTTTGTTTCTTCCTTCACAACATGACGGATAGCATTCTGTCAAGCTTCGGGCGTTACTAGCTGTATGGAAGTCTCAAGTAAAACCTTAACGTCTGGTAATTTGAAGGTTGTGTTATGGCGCGCAATATAACCCTTCACTTGAGCCCAGATGAGCTCTATTGGGTTCAGTTCACAGTGGTAGGGCGGTAACCGCAGCACAGTGACACCACATTGACGGGCCATCTCATCAGTCACGTAACTAATGTTCGCAGGTTTGTGCTGTTTAATTTTTTCATACAATTCCGCTTTCACATATGAATCGTCAAACGGGATTCCTTTTTCGCGCAACCATTGCTGCATTTTCGAGATCCCATAGTCGGTACACGTTCGGCTCGACGACTATGGTAGGAAGCATTATCCATGACGATCACAGAGTCGGGCTCAACTCGCTGAAGCACACCTTGAAACCAGCTCTCGAAGCAGCTGGCATTCATTTCGTCATGGTAATCACCTCCTTTCTTAGAGACGAAAATCAAGTCACACTCTTCTAAAAAGCCACTATCGCTACCAATATGAGTTACGATCAATCTTTGACCTTTCCCTGACGGTCCACGAAGACCTTCAATGCTTGCTTGTCGGTTACTCACTACGTTTTTGTCTATCCAGGTTTTTTTAACTGTGTGACCTGCATTTACCCATGTCTCGTCCAAATAATAGATTTTTCTGCTTTGTCGCCTATGTTCAATCATTTCGCGTAGGTATTTTCGACGCCAGGCGACTATTTCAGGTCTCTCTATCAATACTGACTTCCGATTACGCGTTTCGTAACGAAAATTAATTTCGTGCAGGGATTTCCTCATTACCTCGACGCTCATTTGGGGTATAATTTCATTGTCCTTGATCGCTGCATGTACAGCCTTGAGGGTCGGTATCTCATTCCTAAAGAAGAATGAATGTACGGTTCGCCTTAACGCCATTTTGCTATCGTCATCCAATTTAACGGCCTTTCGTCCCTTCAAATTAAACTTTGGATCAGTAGTAGCTCCAGTTTTCTTCTTTTCATGCACCACCCTGCGAATGGTCCACTCTGGAACGCCTGTCATACTTTCACAACGCGACATAGTTCTGTTCAGATAATTGAACACGTTGAGCACGATTTCTTTCGCGTCCCTCTTCAGTGCTTTACGAAGCCGTCTACTTGTTCCCTGGCTTTCAGTACTTCCACTCGTGCTATTTGTACTCTCCATGGTTAAGTATAACCAAAACAGTAACCACAGAAACCACAACAATAACAATCACACAACAATTCTTATAAAAACACACAATATGCGATCGCTCAACGAAACACGTTCCAATGCGTTGCCGACGCCTATGAGTCTGCCGGTCGAGGCGCGTCTTTGATTTCATTGGTTCTACCGGCGGAGAACAATCAGCCATTATTTCCATCTCTGTCTGTGCTGTTGACCACCGCAAAGCCACAGAAACGACATATGTCGTACGCTATACGGCTGTACTGGAAGGAAGCCGGGATCGAGCTCTGATCACGTGTTGATCACGCGTATGAGTCATTACAGTTTTAAATAGTTGTAGTACATCTGAGAAGGCACAATACAATGGAGTGATGAGGCCCGATTCGAAGTTTGTGTTGGTGACAGTCGCAGTAGAGTTATTCGCAAAAAAATGAAGCATTCCATGTTGACTGTCTGAAGAGAAAAGTGAAATTTCCAGCATCCATTATGGTCTGGGGCAGTATGTCATCAAAAGGCGTAGGAAAACTTCATTTTATTGATGGAAATGTGGATACAAACAAATATTTGGCAATTTTAGAAGAATCGCTTTTACCAGTGATGGAAGAATGTTTGACATCCGGCCAAAATTTTGTGTTTCAGCAAGATGGTGCAGCGTGCCATACCTCAAAAAAGGCTATAAAATGGATGGAAGAAAATAATGTACCACTTTTGAAATGGGTTTCTAGCAGTCCAGATCTGTCAACAATTGAAACTTTGTGGCACGAGCTGAAAAAGGTTCTACGACAACATCCTGCTCGTACAATCACCGAACTGAGACAAAAGCTTCAAGAAATATGCGATTGTTTTACACCAAATGTTTGCCAAAACTTGGTTAACGCTATGCCCCAAAGAATTTCAGCCGTAATAAAAAATAAAGGTGATGTTACCCAATGGTAATCTTTTAATTGTTGCTTTGTTAACTTCGCGCATTTATTCGCACATTGTTTATTTGTTCTATTAGTTATAGGTCTAAGTGATTTCAAATATGTATTTTTTACGACTAGAGTGTATCTAAAATGTTTTTGAGAAAATAAATTGTTTTAGAAGTAAAAAGTTTCATGTTAAAGGCATATTTTGGTACAAATCTTGAAGTGGGAAGGGGCTCGTATCAACATCGTTTGATTTCACAAAACTCAAAGCATCTTCGAGATATAGTAAAACTGGTCGTGCAATTGAAAACTTACTTTTGCAGGTAGTTGGCATGTCAACATTACAGTTCCTCTCATCAGACCCGTCTTTGCAGTCGTTTTCGCCGTCACATCTCCATTTCGATAGTATACATCTGCCATTTTGACATGCAAATTGATCGTCCGTGCAGTTCTGTCTCGGACATCCTTTCTCGTCCGATCCGTCGGCGCAGTCTTTGTGATAGTCACATCTGAAATTATCATCGATTAGTATAACGCTGGGTTGTAGTGGCTTGATGCTGCCGTCTTTAAGCTGAGTACCATTAATTTTAGTATGCTGATTGAAAAAAATGTAAACACCTACGTATGTCCATCCGATTTTAATAATTTTTGGCATATACAGTAATGGATAAAAGCATATAGACAAATATGAATATTTAGCTAAATACCTTTAGAAAACGAATTCATACTTCATTGCTCCATAAAGAAATGCGTTATTACTAGAAAAACTAAATTCCTTGTTTTTACATTATCTGCAGTAGATAGGGTTTGTATGTTCTGGGACGCCCTTGAGCGCCGACCTTCGGTGCCAAACGACCTTGAGAGCTGACCTTCGGTGCCTTGAAATGTGACCTTGAAGTGCGACCTTGAAACGTGACCTTGAGTTTCCTAATGACCTTGAAGTGCGACCTTGAATTATCGAGTGACCTTGAAGTGTGACCTTGAATTTTCGAGTGACCTTGAAGTGTGACCTTGAATTTTCGAGTGACCTTGAGTTTTTGAGTAACCTTGAAATGTGACCTTGAGTTTCCGGGTGACCTTGAAGTGTGACCTTGAACATATATGACCTCGAGCAGTCTCGACCTTGAGTGGGTGTGACCTTGTAGGAGTGAACGACCTTGAGAAGGTTGACACCGAAGGTCAGATCTCAAGGTCGTTTGGCACCGAAGGTCGGCGCTCAAGGGCGTCCCAGACCATACAAACCCTATCTACTATCTGCAATAAACACAATACAAGTCTGAATATAAGCACTTTTTTATGAGGGACGAAAATATGTAGACAAATTCTTTTCAACATTAGTTTAGTACATTTTCGTGTCAGAAGAGGATTAGTTTGTGTTCATCAAGTATTGTGGAATAAATTGAGTGATTTTAACACCTTGCCGCGTCGTGCAGAAATTTCTTTCGATGTGAAAACTAAGATCATTGAGTTATACAAAGATGGTCAACGTCAAGTCGACATTGCCAAAAATTTGAAGCTGAAGCGTAAAGCAGTTTGGGCAATATTGAACAGATATAAAAAAAAAGGTATCTTGGAAGCCTCTAAGAGAAGTGGTCGGCCTAGAATCAGTTAGATTAATAAAAGTAATGTCGTCCAAAGATCCGTTTAAAACTCCAAGAAAATAAAAGCCGAAATCGAGACAAAAGGAATTGTCAGTGTTTCTACGAAAACTATAAGTAGAAGATTAAATGATTTGAAGTTATTTGCACGTCGCTCGAGTAAGAAGCCGCTAATCTCGAGGAAAAACCGTAAGGACCGATTACAATTTGCACGGTTGCATCTTGATTGGAGCATCTGTGACTGGAAGAGGGTATGTTTCAGTGACGACTCCAAGTTCGATATTTTTGGATCCGATGGTGTTCATTACGTAAGACGTCGTAGTGGACAAAGATTGAACCCCAAGTACACTTTGCCCACTGTCAAACATAGAGGCGGGTCTGTTGACAATCTATGGGATTACTTAGATAAGCAAATACGGGGTAAAAATTACTCAAACAAGGGTGAACTTTTTGCCGCTTTAGAGCAAAAGTGGAGACAGATTGATGAATCTTATATGAAGAAACTTCTACAATTCATCCCGTGACGATGCCAGGCGGTGATTGATAATAATGGTTATGCTACAAAATATTAACACAAACATGGTTGGTTTTCTACATTCATTCATTTTCTATAATTGTTTTGCTTTGTCTATACAGGGTGTCCGCAAAGTTGGGGTTTTCCTTTTCAGAAACAACTACCCTTGAAATAACAAAGGTAATGTGTAGTGAAACGAGGGCGACCAAGTAAAAAAAAATAAAGGAAAGAGTACTCACTCTCCAGTTGACGAGAAGGGCTAAGTACGTCTCTGCCCGAAATCATACCGCTCCAACAGAAAATGAAATCAGCTGATGCGCTACCGAGCAGACGCCGGCGGTGGTGCAGACCACGAACAGAGGTAACAAATATGACGGCGTTGCCGCGTTTTCAGTTTTTAGGTAAACGTACTTTATAGGTATTGTTCGAAGTTATCGCGCCGTTTGATTCAAAAACACAGGTGCGTGCACGACGTAGCCAAGCATCGGTGCAGGCTTTGAGAATGGACTCCCTCCCCCGAATGAAAGCACCAGCTTGTTCAATTCTGAGACGAAGTTCGTCAACCGTATGCACTTCAGTTTTGTACACTAAGCGTTTCATTTCTCCCCAAAGAAAAAAATCACATGGTGTTAAGTCTGGAGATCGCAGGGGCCACGCTACGGGTCCATTACGTCCGATTATTCGGAAATAATTCATTCAAAAATTCACGCACTTCGCGTCTAAAATGGGGCGGTGCACCATCGTGCAGAAACCACATTGAATGTCTTACACTTAATGGCACATCTTCTAACAAGGAAGGCAAAATGTTGCGTAAAAAGTCTAGGTATTGCATCCCGTCCAATCGATTTGGGAGAATAAATGGTCCAATGAGCATACCGTTCACCATGCCAGCCCAAACATTCACCGAAAATGTTTGTTGAAAATGTGCCCGATGGACAGCGTGCGGATTTTCTACTGACCAAACATGAGTGTTGCGAAAGTTATTCACCCCATTACGCGTGAACGTAGATTCGTCTGTCACCAATATGCACTTCAAAAAGTCCGGATTATTGTCATGTTGATGCAACAACCACTCGCAAAACCGCACTCTTGCTGGAAAATCGTCAGGTTGAAGGGTCTGTACACGTTGGACGTGAAACGGATACAGCCCCTCTTCACGCAGCGTTTGCCACACTTTGGTTTTTGATACTTGCACTTCTCTAGCCACGTCTCTAGTGCTTGTTGAGGGATTCTCGTCTACGCGATTACCTCTACACGCGTGACCGTAACCGTCGGTTGAAGGTAGCATACTGACCTGACACACTGACCCCGACCCAGTTCTGTCATCGGGTGTCCTAGTACCACTCGGGGATGTCGCGGCTACAGGACGGTATTCAGATATTTTTGATGTTGCAGAGCCCTTTATCTCGGTTTCCTTAAGACATTGGTGTATATGGCACTAAGAAAAATTGCTTATTTTTTCAAGATCTACACGTCGTGTAAAGGAAAACCCCAACTTTGCGGTATATATAAGTTCTAATAAACATACGTAGATGTTTACCTTCCTTGTCACTCAGTACATAATGAAAATCATGACAATTCAATTCATCTAGAACACCGATATCGAATCACTCACTTCCAATACTGCGGTATGCATTTGCCGTCGCTCTCGCAGAAGAAGAACGACGACGGGCACGCGTCGGCGCACCTCATCTCGTCCGAATTATCGCCGCAATCGTCCTCCCCGTCGCACTCCCATCCCTTGGGAATGCACAGGCCGGTGCCGCACGTGAAATGCTCCGAACTGCAGCTGTTCTTCGCCGCCGGGCACTTGAGGTTCTTGCGCGGTTCGCCGCCACCGGGGCACATGCATCGTCCGTTCTGCATGTACAGACCGTCCGGGCAGAGGCAGGCGGATTTGTTCTTCGGCATGCCGACGCAGACGTACGGGCAGGTCGAGTTCGAGCAGGCGTTCGTGCCGATGTGGAGGCCGTGCGCGAATACCTGAAACGGGAAAAGAAGCTTTTTGGTTAGCATGATTGCTACAATTACATTCTTCTAATTACATAACGTACAGATACAGTGGAATCCACTTATAATGAACTCACTTATAACATATATTTGCACCCAAATTTATTTGCTGCCTTTATCGTTCTCCCTCGAACCATAACTGGGATGACCTACTCGAATACCTCGCCGTCCAGATCGACTTCCTGAACATCAATCACCCCGCTTCAGAGGTAGTTCTTCTCGGTGATTTCAATGCCCATAATGAGCTTTGGTTGGGCTCAAATAAGACCGATGCAGCAGGTCGTGCAGTCGAAGCGTTCGCTCTTACTCAAGGGCTGACCCAGCTGGTGACGAGCCCTACTTTTTTCCCCCGCATCTCGTCACACGCCAGTAGCCTGCTGGATCTCTTTCTGACCACGCATCCTGCCCCTTACAGCACTGGTGTCCTGTCCCCCCTGGGTAACTCAGATCACGGTGTTGTGGAGGTTAGGTTTCGGTCAGAAGCTGCTGTGGCAGCAGAAACTCGCACAGGCCGCAAAACTTGGCATTACGGACATGCCGACTGGGAGGGGCTCAGAGACTTCTTCTCTAGCTTTCCTTGGAGAGATGTCTGTTTCACTGCCGCGGATGCGTCGACTGTCTGTTCTTCAATAACCGAAATTATCCACGTCGGAATGGAGGAATACATCCCTCACACAGCGAAAGTTCCTAAACCAGGGTCCAACGGCTGGTTCAACAAATCGTGTGACACTGCTCGCCAGCAGAAGATCAAGGCCCACAGAACCTACTTACAAAACCCCACTGTAGAGAACAGACAAGCCGACGTCGAGTCCAGAAACAAATATAACGAAGCGGTTCGCAATGCCAAAACCCAGCATGATATAAGAATTAGGCACAGGGTAATGTCGCAGCACAATGGCAGTCGGTCTTTCTGGACGCTGGCCAAGCAGATTGAAAAGAACTTCTCACACAGTAGCCTTCCACCACTTACGTGTCAGGATGGAACTATTGTATTCGACTCAAATGCCAAGGCGGAAGTGCTAGCCAAGATCTTTGCTGTCAACTCCACCATGGACGTCCCCACCAACGCCCAAGTGCCGTCAATTCAAAGGGTTCCCCACACTATGCGGGAGGTAACATTCAGGCATAAGACCGTAAGACGAGTGCTCTTCTCGCTCGACATCAACAAAGCTTCTGGTCCGGACTTGATTCCTGCCATTGTACTGAAGAGATGTGCAGCTGAGCTTGCTCCAGTTCTTTCGCGTCTCTTCCAGATATCTTATGAATCCGGCACCTTCCCAGAAAACTGGAAATTTGCTCATGTACAGCCCATCCCAAAAAAGGGATCTAAAACCGACCCTTACAACTACAGGCCTATAGCTCTGCTTTCTGTTATGAGTAAAGTGATGGAGAGGTGCATAAATCGCGAGCTTCTGGACTACCTCGAACGTCACAGCTTGATTAGCGACAGGCAGTACGGTTTCCGGCACCAACGATCCACAGGGTACATCCTAGCTTACGTCACGCAACTGTGGAGTAAACTCATCCAGTCTCAAGGTGAGGCTCATGTCGTTGCTCTTCACATCACGAAAGCGTTCGATCAGCTGTGGCACGCTGCCCTCTTGAGCAAACTTCCATCCTACGGCCTCCCAGAAAAGCTTTGCAGATGGGTGGCTGACTTTATCTCTGGCCGCAAGATATCCGTCGTAATTGACGGATTCTCCTCTTCATCCTACAACGTCAACGCGGGTGTTCCCCAGGGATCGGTCTTGGCTCCAACACTGTTTCTCTTACATATCAACGACCTCCTTTCCTGCACGATCAACCCAATCCACAGCTTCGCTGATGACAGCACTCTACATGCAGGAATTCAGAGCGACAAGCCGATCTCTGCCGCTGAGCTGGAAAAAAGAAGACTAGCGACGACTTCTTCTCTGACAAGAGACCTGGAGGCTATCACTGCTTGGGGACACAACAATCTTGTACAGTTCAATGATTCCAAAACACAGTACTGTACTTTGACGAACAAAAAGCGTCCTAGCGCTCATACAGTTTCGATGGACGGTCGAGTTCTACCAAAGAGCCATTCATTTCGGCTGGTCGGAGTCCAGATCACCGAGGACCTGATCTGGCACGAACACATCTCTTCAATAGCTGCAGCTGCTGGGAAAAAGCTAGGCTATTTGTTTAGGGCTAAGAAGTACTTTTCTCCGCATGACCCTCTCACTCTATACAAGGCCCAGGTAAGGCCTAGCCTCGAGTATTGCTCACACGTTTGTGGTGCTGCCGCCCCGACTACATTGTCCATGCTCGATGCTGTCCAGAGGAGGGCGGTCCGACTGATCGATGACTCTTCTCTAACAGACAGTCTCGGGACTCTTTCGCACCGGCGGGCCGTCGGCGATCTAGCTCTTTTCTATCGCTACACCAACGGGCTTTGCTCCTCAGAGCTCTCTTCCATGATGCCGCCGCGCGATGTGCCTGCCAGACAGACCCGCCTGACTTCGGCGTCCCATCCTAACCGTGTCAAACTTCGTACATCCAGAACTGGCCGATACGACCGCTCCTTTGTCCCGAGGGTGTCTAGATTGTGGAACAAACTACGGGAGGAAGCTTTTCCCAGTTCTACTAACCTTAGGCAGTTCAAAAATCGTATTAACAAAATCTCTTTGGGATCATCATAGCAGCCGCGGTGTTCCGGCATTTAGGCTTCTGCCTGCGCGGCTGTTTCGATATAAAAAAAAATATATATACAGGGTGACTTGTAATGTCACGTATTCCTGTTAAGGGGTCAAAAGCAACCGATTTTGTCCTATCCAGAAGTTAACCACTTTTGGGTTATTTGAATTTTATTTTTTTTATTTTTTATTCCGATTTCAGACGATTAAATTTGAAATACAAAAAAATACATGTTTGGATTTATGATGTAGAGTGTAGGGGATTCACCTCTGCGATAAAATACGACAAACTCGGTCAGTCGTATGATCGTTTAGGATACGTTTATACGTACGTATGTATTTCATTTTTGAACTTAAGTGAATACATTGCACGCGTTAATATATTTTACGACTATGGCATCCACATCCTATAAAAGAAAGTGTTTAAAGTTGAGTGAGAAAGTGAAAATCATAGACGAAGTTACACTAGGTGCGGGAGTGACACAGTTAGCAAAAAAATATGGAGTATCGAAGGCCACAATATGTAAAATTAAGCGTATGAAAACTCAAATTTTACAAAGAACGTGCAATACATTTGGAGGACCGGGAAAAAGAAAAACTTTAAAAAATGCGAAGGCACCTAAAATGGAAAATTCCCTATATAAGTGGTTTTTAAAACAACGGGAAAATCATGTTAGTGGCGAAGTACTTAAACAGAGAGCGAGACTGTTAAATGAAAAACTGAAAGAAACTGAAAATTTCGAAGCTAGTGATGGCTGGCTACAATGATTCAAAACAAGATATGGAATTCGACTGCTGTCTATATCTGGTGGAAAATTATCAGCACAACCACAATTAGTGCAACCATTCAAAGAAAAATTGATGAAAACAATTACCGAGCTAGATTTAAGAATGGAACAAATTTACAACGCAGATGAAAGTGGCCTTTATTGGAAAATGTTACCAGAGAAAACCTATGCTGTATCATTTGAAAAATCTGCCTCGGGAAGAAAGCCGGAGAAACAACGAATAACGTTTCTAGCCTGCACTAATGCTAATGGTTCACACAAAATAAGCCACTGAAAATTGGGAAAGCAAAAAATCCGCGCTCGTTTAAAAATGTTAATATCCCTGTTGATTATGACTGTTCAAAAACCGCTTGGATGACTAGCAGTATATTCCTGAAATGGTTCCACAGGTGCTTTGTCCCTCAGGTATGACAATCAATTATCACAAATGCTCTATTCATAATTTGAAGATGTGTTTTCAATTTGTAGGTAAAAGGTTTCCTAAAACAACAGAAGCTTCCAATAAAAGCGTTGTTACTATTGGATAATGCACCAAGTCATGCTCCCGAGCAACAACTGAGGAGTAGGGACGGGTCAATTTTCGTCATGTACATGCCGCCCAACGTAACACCGTTAATTCAACCGATGGAGCAGAATATAATAAGACTCACCAAACTATACTATAGGAAGTTTCTACTTTCGTCTGTCTTATCAAAGAATCCTGAAAACTTATCTGAGGCTTTAAAAAAAGTAACATTAAGCGAAGCTGTTTTAGATTTACATATGGCCTGGAATGATCTTAACCAGCAAACTATTCAAAAATGTCGGAACAATCTCTTTTGTACCAATAGTGAAGATGATGAAGAAGACGATGTCCCCTTAAGCGTAATTAGAGAACGTTTGCGATCCAATAACGATAATGTTATTAGTGTGTCATTGGATGTTGTTGATTTATTGAAAACAGTGAATCCCAACATTGTTTGTACTCCTGCTGATATTAATTTAAGGAACGAAGATAAGCAGACGAATGATGCTGATAAGGAGGAGGATATGGACAGTGAGGATGATAAGAACGATCCCATTGAAGTCAGAAGTGTAGTGACTGACGCGCAAGCTATACAAGTTTTTAACCAAGCTTTAGATTGGGCTGAAAGAAAAGAAGTTTCATACACGGATATTTTAGTTCTTCGTAAATTACGGGCGCAGGCATTGGAAGACAATGCTAAGCGCAAATTTACGCAGACAAAAACTGTTAATTATTTTTCTTCTAATTAAAAAAATACTTATCGCTGTTAGAATATTTATTTATTTTGTTATAAATAGTATGTATTAAACGCTTCTTTTAATAAATCAAATATTATATAAATCACGTTCGCTAATGTAAACATTTCGATAATGTGAACCACACTTGGATTAAATTAGTTTACATTATCGAGCGTCTGCTGTATTTATTTAACCTTAGTCCCTAAATACTAAAATCTCGAGACCATCCCTGACATTTACCTTGAGATCCATCAATCCAGGCAGATCCGACAAAAGCACATCGATGCCCATAAAGATCTCCTTATCAGCGCCGAAGATCGAATTCCTCTTCCAGTCGTCCCAGTACATGTTGTTTTTGAACACGGCGATTGCGAACGGATGAGTAACAACGCCATTATTGGCGATCACTTTCACGAATCCGTCACCATGCAGATCGGAGCTCGCGATGTAGTCCTGCCTGGCGTCTACCCAGTAGATTCTGGAAATATACAGACTCCGATCACCATCCGTCAAGAGTAATACAACAGTGCTTTTCCAAAAGAAAAGAGATTTTTTCAAATGGAAAGTTCCATATTTTAATACACACTTGGATCGATCGATTCTCCCTTTATATCCTCGGAATATTCTTTAGTTTTACCCATTTTGTCGAGAAAAAAATAAACGAAAACGTACTTGTTGAACAATCGGGTTTTCCAATAAGGACTTGACATTTTAAATGGAAATATGGATGTGTTCAAATACTTCTGAACGGTGGTGTATACTGTCTCAAACTTACCTGTTGGCTATGTAGTCTACAGTGATTCCGTTCGGCCATTCGACGGTATCTCTTCCGAAAAGTGTAACAGGACTGCTACCGTCCAGGTTTGCTCGGTTTACAGACGGATTTTCTGAAGACCAATCCGTCCAAAACAGATATCCACTTTGCGGATGCAGCGCTATGCCTCTAGGTCTGTAAATCAAACAAACAACAATAGTCACGACTGTTTTATATAGTTTTCCCAAAAACATCTATCGGTTAATTGTTATGCAATCTACGACTACAATTGCCGCTTGTTACGGCAATACGCACTCCCCTAAAAATACCTGACTTATTTTTTATTATGTCACGTGAATTAATGATTCTATTTCGCGAGTCTTCTTCACTTTCAATAGGAGTTTTGTATACCAACACTTTAAGGTGTCCCCACAGAAAATAATCTTGAACATTGAACTTGAACTTTGAACTTGAAATTTGAACTTGAACTTTGAACTTGAAATTTGTACTTTGTTCTTGAACGTTGTACTTGAACCTTGAACATGAACTTGAACTTTGAACTTGAACATGAACTATGAACTAGAACATTCAGATTGAACTTTGAACCTGAACTTTAACATTGAACCCGAACTTTGAACTTAAACTTTGAGCTTGAACATTGAACTTGTACTTTAACTTTGAACCTGAACTTTGACCATGAACTATGAACTCAAACTTTGAGCTTGAACTATGAACCTGAACTTTAACATTGAACTCGAACTTTGAACTTAAAATATGAACTTTGAGCTTGTACTTTAACCTTGAACCAGAACTTTGAAGTGGAACTTTGAAACTTGAACTTTAACATTGAACCCGAACTTTGAACTTAAAATTTGAGCTTGAACATTGAACTTGTACTTTAACTTTGAACTGGAACTTTGTACCTTGACCCTGAATTTTGACTTGTACTTTGACACTGAACCCTGATATTGAACATGAACATAGACCTTGAACTTTGAACATTGAACTTGAACGTTGAACTTGAACTTTGACCTTGAACATGAACTATGAACTCGAACTCTGAGCTTGAACTATGAACCTAAACTTTAACATTGAACTCGAACTTTGAACTTAAAATATGAACTTTGAGCTTGTACTTTAACCTTGAACCAGAACTTTGAAGTGGAACTTTGAAACTTGAACTTTAACATTGAACCCGAACTTTGAACTTAAACTTTGAGCTTGAACATTGAACTTGTACTTTAACTTTGAACTGGAACTTTGTACCTTGACCCTGAATTTTGACTTGTACTTTGACATTGAACCCTGATATTGAACATGAACATAGACCTTGAACTTTGAACGTTGAACTTTGACCTTGAACATGAACTATGAACTCGAACTCTGAGCTTGAACTATGAACCTGAACTTTAACATTGAACTCGAACTTTGAACTTAAAATTTGAACTTTGAGCTTGAACATTGAATTTGTACTTTAACCTTGAACCAGAACTTTGAACTGGAACTTTGAAACTTGAACTTTAACATTGAACCCGAACTTTGAACTTAAACTTTGAGCTTGAACATTGAACTTGTACTTTAACTCTGAACTGGAACTTTGAACCTTGACCCTGAATTTTGAACTTGTACTTTGACATTGAACCCTGATATTGAACATGAACATAGACCTCGAACTTTGAACATTGAACTTGAACGTTGAACTTGAACTTTGACCTTGAACATGAACTATGAACTCGAACTTTGAACCTGAACTTCAACATTGAACTCTAACTTTGAACATTAAATTTGAACTTTGAGCTTGAACATTGAACTTGTACTTTAACCTTGAACCAGAACTTTGAACTGGAACTTTGAAACTTGAAATTTAACATTGAACCCGAACTTTGGACTTAAACTTTGAGATTGAACATTGAACTTGTACTTTAACTTTGAACTGGAACTTTGTACCTTGACTCTGAATTTTGAACTTGTACTTTGACATTGAACCCTGATATTGAACATGAACATAGACCTTGAACTTTGAACATTGAACTTGAACTTTGACCTTGAACATGAACTATGAACTCGAACTTTGAGCTTGAACTTTGAACCTGAACTTTAACATTGAACTCTAACTTTGTACATTAAATTTGAACGTTGAACTTGAACTTTGACCTTGAACATGAACTATGAACTCGAACTTTGAGCTTGAACTTTGAACCTGAACTTTAACATTGAACTCTAACTTTGTACATTAAATTTGAACGTTGAACTTGAACTTTGACCTTGAACATGAACTATGAACTCGAACTTTGAGCTTGTACTTTGAACCTGAACTCTAACTTTGAACATTAAATTTGAACTTTGAGCTTGAACATTGAACTTGTACTTTAACCTTGAACCATAACTTTGAACTGGAACTTTGAAACTTGAACTTTAACATTGAACCCGAACTTTGGACTTAAACTTTGAGATTGAACATTGAACTTGTACTTTAACTTTGAACTGGAACTTTGTACCTTGACCCTGAATTTTGAACTTGTACTTTGACATTGAACCCTGATATTGAACATGAACATAGACCTTGAACTTTGAACATTGAACGTTGAACTTGTACATTGACCTTGAACATGAACTATGAACTCGAACTTTGAGCTTGAACTTTGAACCTGAACTTTAACATTGAACTCTAACTTTGAACATTAAATTGGAACATTGAACTTGGACGTTGAACTTGAACTTTGACCTTGAACATGAACTCGAACTTTGAGCTTGAACTTTAAACCTGAACTTCAACATTGAACTCTAACTTTGAACATTAAATTTGAACTTTGAGCTTGAACATTGAACTTGTACTTTAACCTTGAACCAGAACTTTGAACTGGAACTTTGAAACTTGAACTTTAACATTGAACCCGAACTTTGGACCTAAACTTTGAGATTGAACATTGAACTTGTACTTTAACTTTGAACTGGAACTTTGTACCTTGACCCTGAATTTTGAACTTGTACTTTGACATTGAACCCTGATATTGAACATGAACATAGACATTGAGCTTTGAACATCGAACTTGAACGTTGAACTTGAACTTTGACCTTGAACATGAACTATGAACTCGAACTTTGAGCTTGAACTTTGAACCTGAACTTTAACATTGAACTCTAACTTTGAACATTAAATTTGAACATTGAACTTGAACATGAACTATGAACTCGAACTTTGAGCTAGAACTTTGAACCTGAACTTGAACGTTGAACTTTGAACTTGATCATGAACTATGAACTCGAACTTTGAGCTTGAACTTTGAACCTGAACTTCAACATTGAACTCTAACTTTGAACATTAAATTTGAACTTTGAGTTTGAACATTGAACTTGTACTTTAACCTTGAACCAGAACTTTGAACTGGAACTTTGAAACTTGAACTTTAACATTGACCCGAACTTTGGACTTAAACTTTGAGATTGAACATTGAACTTGTACTTTAACTTTGAACTGGAACTTTGTACCTTGACCCTGAATTTTGAACTTGTACTTTGATATTGAACCCTGATATTGAACATGAACATAGACCTTGAACATTGAACGTTGAACTTGAACTTTGACCTTGAACATGAACTATGAACTCGAACTTTGAGCTTGAACTTTGAACCTGAACTTTAACATTGAACTCTAACTTTGAACTTTAACATTGAACTCTAACTTTGAACATTAAATTTGAACTTTGAGCTTGAACATTGAACTTGTACTTGAACTTTGAACTGGAACTTTGAACCTGAATTTTGATCTTGAACATTGAACTTGTACTTGAACTTTGAACCTGAATTTTGAGCTTGAACATTGGACATGAACTTTCCCCACTGGACAACTACAATTTTGGAAGTCCCAGTACAAAAACACTTACCTATGCAAAACGGTCGAGTTGAGAATGGTCCTCCTCATCCTGCCGCTGTGATTGATATCGGTCCTGATCAGCTCTATCTTCTGCCTGACCCCGTCGACGAAATAGAGCGTCTTCGAGATCCAATCGAACGCCATTCCCTCGATCGAGGACAGATCGCTGGATACCAACACGTCCCATTTGGTGCCGTTGGTGAAACATTGACGGCTGATCGTGTCCAAGGCTATGTCCGCCCAGAAGACGCAATTCGTCGCTAGGTCGAAGTCGATCGCGATCACGTTTTTCAGGTTTTTCACCGGCAGCTCTTCCATTTTCTTCGTGATCAGGTTGTATCTGGAATGAAGTTCATTTGAATGGCCAAAATGGTTTTTATTTTTTACGCGAAAACGGTGCCTCGGACGGAAAAAAGTCAAGAGCTTAAATTTGTTACAAAATCGAGATATTAAAAAATATTCTACATCAAAAAATGTCTATTGGTGCTTAGTTCTTAGTAGGTGTATGTCAAAAGTTATAAGACAATTTCAACACCCTGTAGCCCAAAAGATGAGAGAATTAGGACATCAACTTTTCTTCCCAGAACGAGCTAAGGATACCCTGTATTTTTAGCTATCAATTAAATTTTTAACCAAATTCTACTATACCTTGAAATCCGCTCTCGCTGGGCGAACAATATGAAATCATCGATCGGATCTACGGGGCAAGGCACCATATCGGGCAAATAATGGAAATCAAAACCTCCTACGCAGATGTCGCCCGATATTTTCCTGTATCCTTTAGTTCTGTTGTAGAAATCTCCCGGCTTGCAAGTCGAAGGGGGTTTGTAAGGATCATAGCCGATGGCTTTCGTCAGATTCTTGTCAAAGACGCACCTTGGCGGGCTGCCGACTTTCATGAAGCCAAAGTCACTGCAAAAAATGAACCAAGTGTGACTATCACGTTCAGCATTAAAAGACCAGTGGGTAGTGACAGAAAGAATAATTATTGCAGGAAGAATGAACCCTTATTTTATAGACAGTATAAATCAAACAGGGAAGACGATTGATGACGCTGATCCCAACTTATGTTGATTAGAAGTATGTCATAATTCATCAATGAATCAATTTAGGGCAATAAACATTAACAATCGAAGAAAAGCTATCTCAAAATTGAAATCTAATAAGAATCCAAGTGAGAATCTTGTGAGATTCTAAATGATCGTTTCTATATAATTGGATATACATTTGTTTAGTAAATGGTGATTCCCATCAAAATTAAACTGTTCCACCATTACTTCTGAGCCAAAATTTCAACAGAAAACTAAATTTTGACAAAAAATCAAGCTGAATTTAGAAAAAAATATTCTACAGAAACAGTAATCCAAATGGTGATGGAAGACTGGAGGAGAAGTATAGATGATAAAGAATTATTTTTAGACTTCAAAAGGGCATTTGAGACTATATATACTAAGTGACATATAAATCCGAACACCCAGTTTTATTTTAATAAAAGTTGGTGAATGTATTTATCTTACTGTAAATAACAAGTGAAACACTGGACGCCGCCGTAGAACAACAGACCGTGAAGATCGCCGCCTAAGATTATTGGCCTTAAGGGACCGTTTCTCCACTACCAGGTCCATTGCAAATGAATGGTTTGCAGAACACGGAAGACCTATTGGCATGCGAAGTGTTTACCGACGAATGAGAAGTTTTGGCTTGTTTTCATACCGGCCACACTGGGTCCTCCCTTTAACTCGAGAACACCGACGTAATCGTCTTGAGTGGTGCAGACAACGGTCACTCTGGGATCAGGAATGGAACAGTATTGTCTTTAGTGACGAGTCTCGATTTTGTTTAGGCATGCACGATGGTCGTGCCAGGGTTAGAAGGCGACGTGGTGAAAGGAGGAATCCACAGTTTTTTTTGTTGAAAGACATGTTCATCACACTGTTGGAGTTATGGTTTGTGGTGCTATAGCTTATGGTTCCAGGTCACCTTTAATCTTCATCAGAGGTAACATGAACGCGCAGCGTTATATCCACGAAGTTCTAGAACCCCATCTTTTACCCTGGCAGATCCAACTTTCCAACAAGATAATGCCCGACCACATGTTGCAAGGGTCACAATAGACTTCTTTCAACATAATGATGTCACATTGTTACCATGGCCACCAAGATCTCCCGACTTATCCCCAATTGAGCACGTGTGGGATATGATGGGTAGAAGATTGTTCAATTTGCAACGTCCTCCTCAGACTCTAGAAGCACTTCGAGAGGAGTTGGTGGTTGCCTGGAATGAGATACCACAGGAGGACATTGACCACCTGATCAGAAGCATGCCTATTGCCTAGGCGCGTTGGAGAATGCGTAGCACATCAGGGTGCATCCACACATTATTAAAGGTCAAAGGGCTTTAAAGCAGTGCAATCATTTTGAAATTTTTATCATTTACTTATTATGCTTCATTAAGAACTTTTATTAAAATAAAACCATTTAAACTGGGTGTTCGGATTTATATGCCACTTAGTATATAAGGAAACACTGTTACTGAAATTGCATCGCTATGTTTTTAAAGGATTAGTATTAAACATTTTACAAAATTATTTAGTCAAAAAACTAAATGCCAAGCGTTCAAAATATATCAGTAGGGGTGCCACAAGGGAGTAAATTAGGGCCGTTACCATTTATTATTTATATAAATGATATCTCTGACATTTTAGAACACTGCAAAATTCAAATATTTGCAGACGATACATTGATATATGTACACAGCATATAAACATTGCTTTAGGACTGTTAAATAGTGATATTAAAAAAAAAATAGGAATTGGTTAAATGTTAATAAACCGAAATTAAATACTATTAAAACAATGTATGTCAATAGAGAAACATTTAGGTGACAATAAATATATGTTCCAAGTACCGGTTATAAATATGCAAAAGTGATATACCTAAATATACTAATAGTAAATAATAAAAATTTAATTATACATGTGAATGTAGACAGAAAAGGAAACATTTTGCGAAGTGAGTGGTCAAACTATGTAGGTGAGTACTTTTCTAAAATAAATTGTCTAATTTGTTTTTTAAAGTAAGATAGAGATGGAGATTTATTTAAAAAGGTTTATTCGCAGCAAGTAAAATTAAATTCACTCACCATTCGAAATCGTTGATGTCGCATCCGCACTTCTGCTTCGAGACAACTCTCACGTAGTCCAAACCGTTCAGGCAAGTTGCGTCGGGCATACGTTTTTCGTAGGTGGTTTGTTCACCCATAATGCATGGAATGTAATTTCTAAACTCCGTACTTTGGCTCGGACTCCACATTTTATAATCGCTCTGAAAAGAAAAAATATTAGATCCTGGATCATCTCAGATGTAGCTGACCTAGACAACGAATTTATCTTGAGAACGAAGGATTTGTCTTAAAATTACTCAATGAATCGTCTGCTAAATTTATGATACATACTTAATTAACACCCTGTATAGAAAATCAAAAGCAACTTTCACAGTAAGTGTACATTATTTCGAACACTTACTTGTTTGCATGTACGGTTGAACACGTTCTTCAAGTCCACCTTGACAATGATCCACTGGTGATGTTCGGGCAGCGAACCAAACATTGTAAAAACCGTTGTATTTTCTCCAGGTTCGGTCATCAAGCCGTACAGTTTGAGTTCCTCGTTATGGAACGCCGTCTTCTTCCACTGTTTGCCTTCGTTGATGCTATATTCTATATGCCTCGTCTCGCCTTTCGTCTTGTAATATTTGACTGCAGTCAGTATACCACCGTGATCACCCATGTTGAAGAAGTACAAGTCCCTCAAGATGTGCCTCCATGTTAAACCTATGGAAAAATATTTCCTCTTTTAAGATTTATTTAGCAAAATTGCTACAATGCATTATTTTAAAAAAATACAACAATTACATAAAATATTCACTGTTTTTTAATTTTCAAACATCGTTAAATTGCAAGCTTTACATCATTATTTAGTTTATTAAATTCAAGTAATCCTTTCTGAAATATTGATTTGTAAGTTATATTACTATTGCAATTTTGTAAATGAAAATCTACATTTTCTCTTGTATAATAATTGTGGTAATGATTATTCAATTATATGTAGTGTTCTAAATGTTGTGGCAAAAAATGAATTTTTATTTTAAATATAAAAATAAGATATGAAATTTTTCATATTCAACCAGTGCAACTCTTGTAACATACATTTTATTTTGGTGTACTTATTTTTATTCAATATTATTCTCATAGCTTTATTTTGCAAGACTTGTAATTTTGAGAATACAGCTTCATTGGCAGTGAACAAGATAGTTGAACAATATAGTGAATCCGCTAGAATAAACAATTTTTTGGAATATGTACTATGAAAAGCCCTATAAAAGTAATTGTTCTTTTGACAATTTTTGAAATAATAGCGATCCTGAAAAAAAATCGATTATTAAGTACAAAACATACCATCTGCGATGAGACCTGTGCCTCACAGTGGCGAAAATCCTATTCCAAAACCCCCAGAATCCTACACTTGCGATCAGATCATGGCGATCGAGTGATTCGTCAGGAAGAAGATATGCCATCAACGTCAAGAGATCCTGAGCACGTCATGCCACCAACCGCACAAAATAACACAGTCAGAATTAAATGATCTTGTAAGAGATTTAGAACTTCCAAAATATAAGGCAGAGTTACTTGGATCAAGACTGCAGCAGTGGAACTTGTTAGAAGACGGTATGTGTTTTTCGTAAACGCCACAAAGACATAGAACCATTTTTCAATATGGAGAATAACTTGGTTTTCTGCAGTAACATTAACGGCTTACTGGCGGCTTTAAATATAAACTATAACCCAGAAGAATGGAGATTGTTTATAGACAGTTCAACATTGAGTTTAAAGGCAGTGTTTTTGCATATTGGAAATATTTTACCATCTCTTCCTGTAGGGTATGCAGTTCACATGAAAGAATCATATGACAATATGAAGCAGCTATTGACAAGCATAAAATACGATGAGCACCAATGGCATATTTGTGGAGATTTGAAAGTTGTTGCACTTTTACTTGGGCTGCAGCTAGGCTACACAAAGTTTTGCTGTTTTTTGTGTGAATGGGACAGTCGGGCAAAGGCACTTCATTACACCAGACAAAACTGGCCTGTTCATCAATTCCTAGAGCCAGGTCAAAAAAATGTACAGCATATGCCATTAGTAGATTCGAAAAAAAATTTATTACCACCACTGCATATCAAGTTGGGCCTAATGAAAAACTTTGTCAAGGCATTAGATAGAGATGGGGCAGCTTTTCAATACCTGCGTCAGAAATTTCCAAGACTAAGTGAGGCAAAGGTTAAAGAAGGTATTTTTGTTGGGCCACAGATTCGAAATATTTTGAAAGATACACAGTTTGAAAACACTTTAAGAGGTATTGAAAAAACTGCTTGGAATGATTTCCGTCTGGTGGTCACTAATTTCTTGGGAAATAGAAAAGCTGACAACTATAAAACCCTTGTCAAAAATATGCTGTCATCGTATCAAAAGATGGGCTGTAATATGTCTCTTAAGATACATTTCCTACACTCACACCTGGACTTTTTTCCTGACAATTGCGGAGCCGTAAGTGATGAGCACGGCGAACGTTTTCATCAGGATATTTCAACAATGGAAAAAAGGTACCAGGGAAAGTGGAATCCTTCCATGCTTGCAGACTACTGTTGGACTCTTGGTAGAGATGCTTCAGAATCGATCCATAAAAGAACAGCAAAAAGACAGCGCATATAGTGATTCTTATAAGTATATGAATCTTGTTACTTTTTTTAATATATCCTTAAAAATAAAAAGTTTTTTTCTAAACCGCAACTAATTCTTTTATTTCATTGTCATTTTTGGATTCAGCGCCCCAAAATTAACAAAGAAGTGCACTTTTCCCACAAGATACAATTAAAAAACTAAAATTTGTCGTCCAGTGTTATTTCACCATTTATCCTGTGATCCTGTGTGAGTTTATTTACATTTAACTAATTTATGATTATTGAAAAGTCAGAAAGTAGTTTTGTAGAATTTTGAATACAGATCATTGAAATCCATAGAGATGCAATTTTGTAAGGAATTTATTTCTATCAATAATTTCACTTTTATAAGCTTAAAAATGACAGTCATAAAGGATGATCTTAAATCACCAGAGGTAAATCATAGCGGATGTTCAAAATTTTTGGAATCAAAATTGAAAATTCTATTCACCAGCGCGAAAATCCAATAGGAGGACAAGAGATGAAACGTCATATTGAAATTCTAATTATCGAATCTTGTAGAGGAGAAAAAGTGGCGATGTAAATGTGCAGTTAATTGTGAAATCCCACTAAAAATGAAGTAAGGAAAAACATGCAACTATTTTGGGAAAATTCAGTTTTTTATCTCTCTCCAGAAGTATTTGAACTTGAACTTTGACTTGAGCTTTGAACTTGAACTTTGACTTGAGCTTTGAACTTGAACTTAGAACTTGAACTTTAAACTTGAACTTTAAACTTGAACTTTAAACTTGAACTTTGAACTTGAACTTTGGACTTGAACTTTGAACTTGAACTTTGACCTTGAACTTTGAACTTGAACTTTGAACTTGAACTTTAACTTTGACCTTGAACTTTGAACTGTTACTTTGAACTTGAACTTTGAACTTGAACTTTGAACTTGAACTTTGAACTTGAACTTTGAACTTGAACTTTGAACTTGAACTTTGAACTTGAACTTTGAACTTGAACTTTGAACTTGAACTTGAATTTTGAACTTGAACTTGAACTTTGAACTTGAACTTTGAACTTGAACTTTGAACTTGAACTTGAATTTTGAACTTGAACTTTGAACTTGAACCTGACATTTCAACTTGAACTTTAACTTTGAACTTCAACTTTCAACTTTGAACTTGAATTTTGACTTAAACTTTGAAATTGACCTTTGAACTTGAACTTAAACAATGAACTTGAGCTTTAAACTTTGAGCATGAACTTTAAACATTACCTTTGAACTTGAACTTTGAACCTGAACTTTAAACTTGAACTTTGAACTCGAACTTTGAACTTGAACCTGAACTTTAACTTTGAACTTCAACTTTGAACTTGAACTTTGAACTTGAATTTTGACTTAAACTTTGAACTTGACCTTTGAACATGAACTTAAACAATGAACTTGAGCTTTAAACTTTGAGCATGAACTTTAAACATTACCTTTGAACTTGAACTTTGAACCTGAACTTTAAACTTGAACTTTGAACTCGAACTTTGACGAACTTTGAACTTGCATTTTTAACTCGAACTTTGAACTTGAACTTTGAACTTGAATTTTGAACTTGAACCTGAACTTGAAACTTCAACTTTGAACTTGAATTTTGAACTTGAATTTTGGACTTGAACTTTGAACTTGAACCTGAACTTTAAACTTGAACTTTGAACTTGAACTTTGAACTTGAATTTTGACTTAAACTTTGAACTTGACCTTTGAACTTGAACTTAAACAATGAACTTGAGCTTTAAACTTCGAGCATGAACTTTAAACATTACCTTTGAACTTGAACTTTGACCTTGAACTTTGAACCTGAACTTTAAACTTGAACTTTGAACTTGAATTTTGAACTTGAACCTGAACTTTAAACTTCAACTTTGAACTTGAACTTTGAACTTGAATTTTGACTTAAACTTTGAACTTGACCTTTGAACTTGAACTTAAACAATGAACTTGAGCTTTAAACTTTGAGCATGAACTTTAAACATTACCTTTGAACTTGAACTTTGACCTTGAACTTTGAACCTGAACTTTAACTATGAACATGAATTTTGAACTTGAACCTGAACTTTAAACTTCAACTTTGAACTTGAACTTTGAACTTGAATTTTGTCTTAAACTTCGTACTTGACCTTTGACTTGAACTTAAACTATGAACTTGAACTTTAAACTTTGAGCTTGAACTTTGAACACGACTTTTGAACTTGAAGTTTGACCGTGAACTTTGAACCTGAACTTTAACATTGAACTTGAACTTTCTCAGCGGCATTTTCAGTTACCTAAATACGCAACTTTAACCTCATTTAAGCGACGTCATATCACTTACCGTTTCCGAGCTCCTAATGGTAAAAGTCGAATTTGAAACGCCTGAAATATAAAAAAAATTAACTAACCTGCATCGAGACTGATGTAAACCCCGTAATGCCCTTTCAGGCTCTTCCCGATAACACCGGTCGCCATGATGATGCCTGGCGCCGATTTGCTGGACAAAATGCTGACCGATCTCGTATCGGGGAAGATTTGTCCGAACTTCTGACTGAGATGCAAAGAACAGTTCCTGGCAAGTACGCAGGCGGTCGTTTGGCCTTCGAGGTCTCGAGATGGTGGCTGGATCGGTCGCCAGGTGGCACCGTGATCGAAAGTAATGACGGATCCGAGATGCTGCGGACCCAAAGAGCTGCCCATCGGTTTCGAGATCAGCTTGGAGGCGATGTAGATTCCGGAGAGACCTTCCACTTTGTAGATGTCGATGAAGGCTTCGTCGTACAGGTGGCTGAAAATAATTATTGAGTATAGAATAATTTTCTAGAATTTGTTAGTTCCCAGATCTGCAACAAAAAAGAAAATCCTTGCCAGTCAACGGATAGTCGAGGTTCGACTTTTCAAGATTGATTATACTCTAACAAGAATGTTGGCGCCAAGGACTTTTCTTCGAGATAGACACGAAGTGACCTCGAAGATTCTGGACTGCCGCTATGTGGCTCACCGGAACCTTCTCGAATCAACGAGTACCTGCGATGCGGACTATATAAGTCGACGGCCGAGAGAGGGAAGCAGAGTAGACTTGAGTGAATGGCGCGTCACAATAATTCGTAAATAAGTAGTCAGACATAAATGTTCGATCTAGTCAAGTTAAATAAATTAGTGCATTTCGTTTTGTTGTGTTGTGTGTTTTAATCTACGCCTAAAAGAACCCAGAAAAACGTTGCAATACTTACTGAAGCCATGAATCCTGCCATGTGGTTCCCGGTAGAAAAGCGAAAATATTCTCCAGCGACAGGGTGAATTTGACTTTTCCGTCATTTCCAGCCAAATTTTCGGAAACGTAGAGATGCGACGTGACATTCGTGTGACTTATAACAACCAATGCTCTGTTCCCAGTCACATCTACTACGAAGAAACTTTTCGCTTTCTGAGTGGTGTTGAACACGCAGAGGATTTGTCTGCCTAGTTTGTAGGATACGTACAGTTCCAAGTCGCCCTAGAAAAAAAATATTAACATGAAATGCCGCCAAATACGGAACAGTGAACAAGATAGTAAATGCGGTAGAATAATTGAATTATAAACTTTTAATTTTTGAATATGTACTAAGACTGTAAAAGCCCTATGAAAGTATACTAAGTGACATATAAATCCGAACACCCAGTTTAAATGGTTTTATTTTAATAAAAGTTGGTGAATGTATTTATCTTACTGTAAATAACAAGTGAACAAATTTTCAGCCTTATCAGTTGGACATTCCGGTTTTTATACTGGTTTTTTTAATTCACTAACGCTCTAAAAATGAATATTTCAGCCGCAGTAAAGAATCAACGTTGGCGGATTTTGGTTCTTGACATCCTTTACGATCGGTTACGATGCCTAGAGTACGGATTTCGTCAACTTAGTGAGTTTGATAGGGGCCGTATAGTGGGACTTCGGGAAGCTGGACTTTCTTTTCGGGCAATTGCAGTTAGAGTGCAAAGAAGTGTAGACACTGTGGTTAGGTGTTGTCAGGCATGGCTTCGAGAAGGCCGTACGCAAAGAGCAAGGGGCACTGGACGCCGCCGTAGAACAACATACCGTGAAGATCGCCGCCTAAGATTATTGGCCTTAAGGGACTGTTTCTCCACTACCAGGTCCATTGCAAATGAATGGTTTGCAGAACCCGGAAGACCTATTGGCATGCGAAGTGTTTACCGACGAATGAGAAGTTTTGGCTTGTTTTCATACCGGCCACACTGGGTCCTCCCTTTAACTCGAGAACACCGACGTAATCGCCTTGAGTGGTGCAGACAACGGTCACTCTGGGATCAGGAATGGAACAGTATTGTCTTTAGTGACGAGTCTCGATTTTGTTTAGGCATGCACGATGGTCGTGCCAGGGTTAAAAGGCGACGTGGTGAAAGGAGGAATCCACAGTTTTTTGTTGAAAGACATGTTCATCACACTGTTGGAGTTATGGTTTGGGGTGCTATAGCTTATGGTTCCAGGTCACCTTTAATCTTCATCAGAGGTAACATGAACGCGCAGCGTTATATCCACGAAGTTCTAGAACCCCATCTTTTACCCTATCTTGACACCCTGGCAGATCCAACTTTCCAACAAAATAATGCCCGACCACGTGTTGCAAGAGTCACAATAGACTTCTTTCAACATAATGATGTCACATTGTTACCATGGCCACCAAGATCTCCCGACTTATCCCCAATTGAGCACGTGTGGGATATGATAGGTAGGAGATTGCTCAATTTGCAACGTCCTCCTCAGACTCTAGAAGCACTTCGAGAGGAGTTGGTGGTTGCCTGCAATGAGATACCATAGGAGGACATTGACCACCTGATCAGAAACATGCCTAGGCGCGTTGGAGAATGCGTAGCACATCAGGGTGCATCCACACATTATTAAAGGTCAAAGCGCTTTAAAGCAGTGCAATCATTTTGAAATTTTTATCATTTACTTATTATGCTTCAATAAGTACTTATACAAAATTTTATTAAAATAAAACCACTTAAACTGGGTGTTCGGATTTATATGTCACTTAGTATATTTTGTGATATACTGTGTAATATGGATATTTTGTACATTGTAGCATTAATGCTAAATAAATCTGAAACAAACAAACAATTTTTAAAAAAATGTTTTCATAGTGATCCTCAAACTTTTAGTCTACTATCAAAATATAAGAAACCTAAATATTTAATTGATTCAACATTTTCAATTATTTCACCATTCATCCTAACGGAGATAGTATTTCCATTTAGGTATTTCCCGATTAGCATACATTTCGTTTTAGAAGCATTCAATTTTAGTTTATTTACATTTGACCAATTTATGGTTTTCGCCAAGACAGAATTTAGCCTTTTTAAGCAATATCGAATTGAAGACGCAATTGGATATAGGTGTCAAGTAACATTTTTTAAAAATTTAGGAGTGATTATTTAATAATAATAATAATAATAATAATAATAATAATCGTCTTTATTGACCAAAACATGGTACATTACATGGGGCGAGATTAAGCACCTGCTATTCCACCATCTAACCCCGTTAGATTATGCGATTACTTTGTTGCAAAAACAAGATAATAAACTAATCAAACTAAATATTAAAAATGTCAATAAAGTAAAAGGTCCCAATAAAAAACGTGTAAAGTCAATTTTCTCCATTAAATGAATTTGTTACAAAAAATTCTCAAAAAATAGTGTGTGGATGGAATTGAAATATATTATAGAGGTATATGGTATGTTTAAGGGACATCTATTATATGAACTGGAGATATATAGAGGTCAGACACTGAAGTTTTATGACAAAAAAAAATTATAAGATGTTTTGGAGCATTTACATACAACTGATGCACTGTTTTCGTAAAATTTGTCCAGAAATTGATTTGGATTTCCGTAATTATTTGCTAAAAACCTAACAAATTGTCGAATCGATCGTAATGCTACAATTTTTAAATATGGTATATGAAGAAACGATGACTAACTGGTTGTTAATCATACTTATTGTTCTGATAATAGAGAATTCTTAGTTGCGTGTAAAAAAAATATTTTCGATAAAATTCTATTCATGTTTACTCGACTTTACGGGAAATACATAAGACATAATGCTTTTGTTTGTATTATCGGCTTCTTTTATAGAGAAATGACTCATAACGGATAAAACGCTATCAAATGCGTCAACTTGATATCTACAACACGCTGTCTTGGGGATAATTGTAAGTATTTTTTACACAGCGATAGTCCAGTATATACATACGAGGGATGTCTTTTAAGCTTTGCATACGGAAATAAAACAACACGGCAGGTAGTTTTAAATGACTTTATTGTTTTTCGAAGTATTCTCCACGAAGATTAATACACATCTGCGTGCGCTCGAACCAATTTTCGAAGCACTTATTCCACTCGTTTGCTGGCAGATCCAAAACGGCTTTTTGAATGCGTCAAATGCTTCTTCTGGTGACTGGAACCTTTGACCACGCAGTCTGTTTTCAATTTTCGTTAGGACTTAGATCGTGACTATATGGAGGATGGTCCAATAATTCCACGTTTTCTTCCGTTAAATACTGCCTTGTTTTTTTTGGCTGTGTGCGAGCTTGCATTGTCTTAGTGGAGGATGATTCTTCTTTCGGGGTTGATTTTTCGAAGCTCGGTGATGACTTTTGGCAAACAAATGGTGGAATACCAATCCGCAGTAACAGTTCTTTGCTCATTAAGAGGAATTACACTGGTCAACAAAAGTTTAACTTTGTCGTGCCACACGGACTTTTTTGATATTTTTTACTTTAATTGGTGATTGTAAGAAAAAATAAACAGTTAAAAAAAATTTGCTAGACAAGGATTTTACTCTATTGAGTAATTTAAAATATTAAGAAAAAACACAGATCTCGTAAATCAAAAGTTATTTTTTTTATAAATGACTTAATAATCTAAGATTTTCTTGAATATTTAGCTTCTGGTTGGTCCCTTTTAATTGTCCAGCAGTAATCTGCTAAAATATTTGGGCTCCATTTGCCCTGGTACCGCTTTTCCATATTATGTCCTGATGGAACCTCTCACCGTGCTCGTCGCTGACAGCCCCTAAATTGTCAGGAAAAAAATCCAGGTGCGAGTCTAAAAAATGGATCTTAAGTGACATGTTGCAACCCAATGCTTGATATGACAATAATAGCTCGCTAACCAACTCTCTGTAGCTGTCACTCTTGTGGTTACACAAAAAATTTGAAACATTTTTAAAAGCCTTCCATGCAGATGTTTCTGAATCGCTTAATTTTTCTTCAAATCTTGAATATTTTATTAACTCCCTGATGTGAGGGCCAACAAAAATACCCTCTTTTATCTTTGCATCACTTATTTTAGGGAATTTTTCTTTTAGATACAAAAATCCACTCCCATTGCGATCCATTGCCTTCACAAATTTTTTTATTAATCCTAATTTGATATGCAATGGTGGTAGAAGCACATTATTTGGCTGTACAAGGGGTAAATACTTTACGTTTTTTTGCCCAGGAACTAACGATGCACGCGTAGGCCATGTTTTTTTTATATAGTGATTAGTTCTGTCTCGGCTATCCCATCCACATAAAAAGCAGCAAAACTTTGTATAACCCAGCTGAAGTCCAAGTAATAGTGCAACAACTTTAAGATCACCGCAGATTTTGAAGGAATATGTACTGTAATTTATTTTTTCAAGTAAAAGTTTCATATTTTCATAGGTTTCTTTCATATTTGCAGCATGGGCCAGAGGTACAGACGGAAGCTTATTTCCATTATGCAATAACACTGCTTTTAGACTTGCTTTCAAAGAATCAATGAATAAACGCCACTGAGAGAGATCAAAATCTATGTCCAACATTTTCATAATCTCATTTATGTTATTGCAAAACACCAAATCTCCATCCTGAGAAAAATACGTTCTGAAGTGTTGATCACGGTTTCGAAAATAGCTAACTTTTGTATTATGATGTAGCAAATTCCATTCTTTTAGACGTGATCCTGATAGTTCTGACTGCTTTTTTGACAAATTTAAATCCCGAACCAAATCATTTAGGTCTCCTTGAGTTATCAAATGTGGCTCGTTTACAATTCCTTTTAACTCAAAGTCATCGTACTCGTCAACACATTCACCTGAAGTGGACGGTTGTGAATTGTTCTCAACAGACGTAGTTGCAACTGGTATTAGTTCTGGCAATTTTTCACAATGAGAGACTGGTCTTATAGCCGAAGATAAGTTAGGGTAAATAACTGTTTTTTTTTTCTTGTAATTTATACTTTTTTATGTCTGTGAGACAAAAATAGCAATCTGAATATCTGAAACGTGATCTCGCTGTTCAGTCCATATCATGGGTACAGCAAACGGCATAGGTCGTGCACCTTTCTTCCAGTCAGTTAAATTTTTCACACACGTTATGCAACAGACATCAGGGGCCCAGGATTTGTCTTGATGGGCGACAGAAAAACCAAAACATTGGTGATAACACTGCAACACAAGATTCGTAA